TTGTGTGTGCCAACAAAGTCATTTCTATACGGAGACAATGCTAGTTTTCAGCATGTTGACTTCAGGATAACGATCCCTTGGAAATCCACATTAATTTTCTGCATCCCCAAAAATATAATAATAATAAAAAATAAAAAAATTAAAAAAAAGAAAAACACAGAGGAAATGCAATTTAAATGACAAAAGAAACTGGTTCTTTTTTATAGTGAGGTAATTAGCTAGCGCTTGCATATTTTAAATGAAATGCGATTATTAAATTGTGCGTTACCATGGTACTGGCTTCAAAATGTTTCCTATAAGGCAGAGGGCAGAAACATGAAATAAATAATTAAAAAATGAAATTAAGTGAAATTAAACGCAAGAGAGTCCATTAATCAGAAGCTTCAGGCAGAGAAAGGGGGGTAAAAAATAAAGATGGGAGCTTCTCTGATGTTTAACAATCCCAGATCTTAAGAACTAAACTACAAAGTCAAGAACATATTCTAAAATATCGCTGATACACTGCTCTTCACTGCCACTAACAGCAGTTCTTAAGATACTACTATGTATGCCATACACATAACAAAACATGTCTGGGGATAGAAACAGATGTGTATAGAGAACCCCGACTACAAATATTACATGCATTCGCTCATTAGATTTAGGAGACTTGTTCCACTGGTGGAATATATAGAGGAAATCTATGGCTTCTCTGGTCACATGGAGTGTCCAAATGTGTTGCTTACTTTGCAGTACTCAGGTGCTGCATTCAATTAAAAAAGCAACCAGAATATCACAGTCCAGTCACTGGTCGGGGCAAGGACAAGATCTATAAGTATTCCTTATCTTCAGCAAAGAAAAATCAAGTCTTCTCCCCTGTTGGACAAAGCTGTGTTGTGTGGTAGACCTCTGCAAATCTCAGGACTGGATTGGCAGAGAGACAAATCATGTGGCAAGTAAAACAGCTCTTATACGTTTTTTTATCTGTGTATATAACTATTTTCCTGGAGTTCAGCTTTAGCAGACACTGAAATCATTCAGAGGGCTTAATATTGGATGTAGGAGAGAAAAAGATATATGCGTGCAATGCTCAGAAAGTCAGAAGAATGTGTGTGTTTGTTTTTTTCTGGGCAGAAACCTCCAGCAACAGGTATGTACTGAGAGCTTATGCTGCCAGCTACCTGCTCCTTCTGTCAGCTTTACAATTTTTTTGTAACCCGCAGATTTTCTTTAAAATCAATATGGTACAGTTACAAACCATCAAATAAAACTAAGTGTATTTACTTCACAAAAAGTAGTACCTTTGCCCAGTTAGGTCGCTTCAGCTGCACTTCTGGTTTATATTCCTTTTTGGGTACTAGTCCATGTGGTAAAGCAGGCACTGCAGACATCCCCCAGCCTCTAAAACCTGGAGGAGGAGGAGGACCACCTAGCATGCCTGGTGGGGGTGGTGGAACCCCAGGACCACCAGGGAAAGGAGGAGGTGGCGGTCCCAGTCCAGGAGCTCCAGGCAGTGGAGGCGGTGGAGGGGCTCCTGGAAATGGTGGTGGAGGTGGAGCTCCACCAGCACCGGGCATTGGTGGGGGTGGAGGAATGACACCTGGCAAAGGTGGTGGAGGAGGAACAACCCCACCTGGCAAAGGTGGAGGGGGAGGCGGCATACCAGTTTGGCCAGGAAAAGGAGGAGCAGCTGGACCCATACAGGGAGGTAGTGGAGGAGGAGGGGGTGGAGGAGGTGCTCCCCCTGGAACTAAATTCCCTGGAAGAGGAGGCGGGGGAGGAGGAGGTGGTGGAGCTGGTCCTGATGCTGTGCCTGGAGTAGGAACTGGTATTAAAACAGATGATGTTGACATATTGGCCATTTCCTTTTTAGCATCTTCAAGTTCCTTTGCGACTTTTTCGATCTGTAGAGACAAACAAGAACAACATTAATGCAACTACAAAAACAAAAATGATTAAGTTAAGAAGTCGCTTTGTAAATAGCCAAAACATTTTTATTATTGTTATCATCTCTATGTTTAAGGTTGTTAAAGAGGACATGTCACCTAAACAAATGATAAGCTCCCGGTTTTCATAAGGTAATGGTTCCAAAGTTTCATTCTCATGTGCTGCAGGTTGCACTTTTCTGGACCTTACAAGAAAAATGACAGTCCCATACACAGTGCAATATGCGTAGCTATAATCCAGGGGTAGCCAAACTCCGGCCCTCCAGCTGTGGTGAAACGACAAATCCCATGATGCATCTCTCTCCGGGAGTCATGTCTGCGGCTGTGAGAATCTTGCAATTTCTCATGGGATTTGTAGTTCCACCACAGCTGGAGGGCCGGAGTTTGGCTACCCCTGCTATAATCAGTTGACACTGAAAGATACACACCATGAAACCCACCATTCTGTATTCACACAGAGCTGCCATATTAACTCATTTTGTTAGCCAATGGAATAAAGATATAATTCAACCTTTATTCCATGGAAATGCAGGACCATCATTTCTTTCAGAAACAGAATGAGAATCAGAACAAAATGAGCTAAAGCACAGAAAAAGGAGGAAATGGTTTAATGAGATAAAACATTTTTAAAGGAGAACTATGGGGTTAAGTCTTTTCCCCATAGTTCTCCATAGGGTAACGGGAGGACATAAACTAGCGTCCTCCTGTCACCCTAGGCTCAGTATACCGCGAGCTGTAGCTCGCAGTATACTGAGACGCCGCAGTATAACGCGAGCGGATGCTCGCGGTATACTGAGGCGCCGCAGCTGAAGCGGATCCTGACAATTGTGCCGGGATCCGCCCAGCTGCGTGACTGACAGCTGGCTCTGCCTATCTAGAGGCAGAGCCAGCTGTACCCGCCCCCTCCCCTGTCCGTTCCGCCAGTCAGCGCTGGCGGATCGGAGCGGGGAGGGGGGAATCCAGCCCCTCCCTTGTCACGGCAGAGAGCTGTGACAGGATCGAGAGGTGAGCGAACGCAGGTATGTGTTCGCTCACCTCCCGATCTACTGAGCCGACCTGCGACTGTCTCATTGTCACAGGTCGGTTAGAACTATGAGGTGAGTGAAAAGCACTCACCTCATAGTTCTCCTTTAAGTGTATCAGTGACCGGAAAAAAAGAATGTGGAATCACAAAAATGGAAAAACTGGGTACAACCACACAGACAGCAAGGGGGTGATAAAACCAGGCAGTTGAACTGCCAAGCATCCGCTGCAACATCAGCACCGCGGCCGAACAGTGCTGTACACATTGTCGCGGAAGAGACGCTTTTTGTTGCTGAAAAATATATATAGAATGTTATGTTTGACAGGCGGTGCTGCTTATCAACCGCAACCATTGCAATGAATAAGATCATGCTGCAACCGCATAGTTACATGACTGCAGCATGGTATTGCAATAGAAGAAAAAAAAACTGCTTTCAGAAGGTGCAGTATCCACTCCTGAACACTGGGCAGCCACTGATCCCCACCAACGAAAAAGCGATCCAACGGAGATTGGTTTTCAGAGGGGCTGCCGTCCGTGTATGTAGGGGGGAGACCTGGATGTAGCAAACCATTCAAATAATTAGTATCATTTACTTCTAAGAAGTAAACAAAAGTAACAAAAACAAGTGGGAAGGATAGTATTTGGTTCCAGCGATGTTTAGTTTTTTAGGCCTTGTTCACAAATGCAGAGCAGATCTGGTCAGGTTTCTGCACACGCACGCTAGTCTTTTAGATGCTTTTTTTTTTTTTTTGTTTAACATGGGCTTTCAGTGCGTTCCAGGCATTTGCATGCATTTTTTATGCATTTTTGATGCGTTTGCAGATCCAGAGCAGGTAAAATAGGGCCTGCTGCAGTTTTTTTACCTGCTCTGGACCTGCATGTTGCGATGTGAACTGGAGCTAAAAATACCATAGGAAAACATTGGACGCAGTTTTGATCCGGTCTGCACCTGCTCTGCACCTGCTGAGCGCTTGGTGTGAACTAGCGCCTAAGGGTTTCTAAAGACAGAGGTAGCAAATTAAACATAGATCTATCCGCTAAAAAAAGAAAAAAAAAATGGCTAGACTTAAGGGGCCACTTGGTCTTTATCTCCATTCCTCCTCAATGTTTCTATGAGGCAACTGATGTTTCAAATATCATATTGCTTGCCATCATGACCACTTTTCTACAACTGAGTGGTACATATTGAAGCAAACTAAAGCCAAACAATGTCCTCCTGGGACCCAAAGTCAGCCCACTATTTGCTGATAGCGCAGAGCCGTGCTGAATCCCAACAATATAGTTGGAATCTACCCCGCTGCCTGATTGACAGTTGACTCTGCCTCTCTAGAGCCAAAGCCAGCTGTGTCCGCCCCCTCCCCCTGTCTGTCCCTCCAATAAGCGCTGCAGGAAAAGAGAGAGTGGGGAATCCCTGCGGGGAGAGGCGACTGCCAGTCACCGCTGTCTCCCGGGAGAAGACCATGAGCTGAGTGTTCAGCAGTTCATGATCGCTCGGCTCTCAATCTATAGACCCAGCCCTAAGTACTGGAAGAGTACATTTTACTTTCCCCATACTTCTCCTTTAAAACATTCAAGCACATCAGCCAAGGCAGAGCTGAGAAACGCAGTTTCCAGTCAAGCGCCCTCTTTTCTTTAAAAGACTCCAAATTGTGTTACTAATACAAATCTGGGCCCATTAACGTTTCATACTTTATAGCCGGCTTAAATAATTATTACAACATTTCAATGCAGGCAGTGTAATGGTAAATATATTCTGAAGTGCTCAGATATCTTTTTCTTACAGATGTAAAAATATTTGGGGGTGATTTGTACTTTCAAAAGGTGCTTTCAAAGTCTTCATCCAAAGTCATTTCTTTTTGCAATTATATTTCTTCTAACTATTGTATTATTCATTTTACGGCTTAAGTATCAGACCGAGGTGAAAGCTTTTCAGATTTCCATTTTCACATTCTTTTTTTCTCAGTCACTGGCAGAACAAAGAGAAATAAAAGCTTCATGGATAAAGCAGGAAAATCCACCCGGCCTTTCAAAGTGCGGCTCAGCCTCTGCATGCGCCTTTGTTAAGCCTCAGTCCGCCACCAGGAAACGAAGCAGCAGTCAGCATTGAACAGGTTAACGTGACATTTTTACAATATTATAGCTTTGGAAGGACATTGTGTTGTACTCGGTTACTTTTATGTCTGATAAGAACCACCTCATACCTCTAACAATGTTTTGTATTAGGGTATGCACTGAAGATCACTTCCCAAGTTTCTCTTAAGAGGGAATTTATGCTGTTTTTTCCATTTAAAAATTGATATTTATTGCTTTTTTAAAAATGGTAGTATTGTGAACAGTGTATATGTGCCACCTGGGTTTCTCACCGACACATGGTGACGGGCTTCAGAGTTTCTGTCTGCTATGGATGAAAACAAACGCCGTTTTCTCAGAGCTTAAAAGGAGAACTATGAGGTGAGTGATTTCCACTCATCCTCATAGTTCGAGCCGACCTGTGACAAAGAAGCTGTCACAGGTCGGCTCTATTGATCGGGAAGTGAGCAGAAACATGCACCGATCTGCTCACTTCCCGATCGTCTCCCGTCAGAGAGCGGTGACTGTCAGTCAACGCTCCCCACAGGGATCCCCCCTCTCTGATCCTCCAGCACTGAGTGGAGGAGCGAACGGGGGAGGGGGCGGGCATAGCTGGCTCTGCCTCTAGATAGGTAGAGGCACGCAGCTGGGTGGATCCAGACAGTATTGTCGGGATCCATCCTGGCTGTGGCGCTCTCAGTATATCGCGGTTGCCCGCGATTTAATGAGCTTTGGGTCACGGGAGGGGGTTAGTATATGTCCTCCCGTGACCCTAAAGATAACTATGGGGAAAAACACTTAGCCCATAGTTCTCTTAAGTTCTGGTTTGGGTTCCAGTGCCTAGGGGCTTTGTAGAGTTTTGGGTAGGGTGAACTGTTCAGCCCTAAGCACATATGTAACCTATTAGCCAGACCTCACCAATTAGTCTCACCTGTCCAAAGGCCTTTATATAAGCGAGGTGGGCTACCCCCACACTGCAAGGGTTAAGTGCATGTTTTGAGCTAGGGTCTAAAATAAAAAAAGATACTCACCCAATCCTTGGTCCCACCTGGCTGCTAGACTAATTCCTGCAGCCTCTTCTCCCCTGGGCACCGGTGGTCTAAGGATCTGTGGTGTCATCAATCCATTGACTTGCATTGGATGCGAGGACGTGGAGGGGCATTCCACAGCCGGATTGGACGGGGAGAGAGGTTTCCACCGCAGGACAGAGGATCAGGTGAGTGTGTCTTTTTTATCTTATACACCAGACCAAAATGAGCACTTAGCCTTATAGTGCGGAGCTAGCCCCACTTCAAGGGTTCTTTTTTTTTCATGCCCGGAGTTCTTCTTTAAAGGATGTTTAGTAAAAATAAAGATTTTTTTTTATAGGATTAACATTTAGGCCAGATATCAAATTTTCACTTTGAAAGCCATTTTACTCAGTTCACCTTATAATCACCCCTGACATCACCTATGCACCTGATTCACATAATCAGGAGAAGATGGAGGCTGCAATCAGACATATAGGTTTTCCTAGGATTTAATTATATGCAGCCTGTTCATTCCAAGTTTTTTCCATGTAATACACTTGAGAAAAACACAGTGTATGATTTAGGGCCTGTTCACATGAGATCAGGTCCTGATCAGCAGACGTGGAGCTGCTGATGCAGTGCGTTTTTGGCCGCGTTTTGATGCGTTGCTGGAGTGGGGCTGTTAGTATGTTAGCTGCAGCGCAGTGCGTTTTTGACGCGTTTGCGTATCCGGACCGTTTCCGGACCTGACAAAATGTGACATGCAGTATTTTTTCTGTCGTAAGCCTTACGGACTGCGCACGTGAGAACTGGAGCCCATAAAACACATAGGGATACATTGGGATGCATTTTGAGTGCAGCAGCGTACGGAGCCGGTCAGCACACAAAACGGACGTTGTGTGAACAGGCCCTTAGAAAAATGTCAGTTAAATGATTTCCTGTTTCTCCCAGAGCTTTCATGTATAGCCTAGTAAACCCCCTAACTAGAGCCTGTGTTGAGGGGAAAATTCGAGTTGCTTTCAGGTGCATTCCGCTTGCATTTGACACCGGTTTGAGATGCTCCTAAGATCATTCAGAATTCACTGACAGATGCATTTGCCATGCAGTTGACTTCCTAAGTTGCATTAATGGCTTTTGCATTTCCTTTGACTTACATAGAGAGAGAACAGTTCTGAAGTGAACAATTGCCCGTCAAAATAGACCCTTATATAGGGGGGGCCACTTACCTTTTCGGAAAGTTGTACGAGCTCGGACTCGAGCTTTTGCTTTTCAGTGACGACATGTTGTTTTTCAGAATCCAGGGTTTGCTTCTCTCCCTGGAGTTCTGTTAACTTTAGTTCATATTCACTTTCCTTTGCTTTCATTTCCACTTGGAGCTCATGTCTTGCAGTAAGTTCTAAATCCAGCTATACATAAGGAGAGAAGAGGAATGAGTCACATGATCCCCTTACCCAGAAGTAACTGTTTTCTTTTTTCAGACTAAGCACATTTCCTGCAAGTACAGAAAAACACCTGATCTTGCCAGACATATTATGTCCTTTTAACTTCCTGTACACTGAAATGAAATATTAAGCAATCGTATCAACCTTCTCACCAATGCTATGTTCGTTTTTCATCCGCAAACGGAGGGTCGGAAAACTGACAACCTGAACACTCATGTGTAAGAGGCCTTCAGTTTCTAATTTTCGGGTCAGGAGAGGATCTGTTGATGGATCACAGCAGTACGGACCAGAGACGTGCGGTCAGGGGAGGCACAGCCTCACCTAGTATTATGAAGAAAAAGGGTGTCAGCTTCAAGTCTGAAGCTGACAGCTTTTTCCCCATTCAGGAGCGGCTTGTAACAGGTTACAGAGCAGTGAAATCCTCCTCGCTGTGGAGCCTGCCATGGACGGAGAGCTGCCCGTTCATTACAGGGGGCACTGCATATGGCCTTTGACAGCTAAGTTAGGTTAGGCAGCAGTGGGCTTCACTACTGCTTGTGTAACATAACATAGTGAGGCAAGAGCTGTCACCGCCTCTACTCTTGTGTTAGAGGCTTGAGCTCTGTGAATGGTTTGGACCAATGGCAAAGCGCCATTGGTCCAAGCTGCCCAATCAAGCTGTCCAATCAAAAAAATAAAAAAAAACACTGAGGCCATGGATCTCGATGCCTCAGCAGTTACGACCAAGTGAGGGACAGGAAGGCTCCTCCCTGTCTCCTCACTCCTTCACACTAGCCGGGGCTTCATTGGGATGGGGGTGAGGCTTTGTCGGGATATGGGTGGGGCTTCAGTGTGCTGGGGCATGGCTGGGCATCGTGTGGGTGGGACTAGGGAATGCCTCGCCAAGAAGCGAAGGTACCGCACGTCACTGGTACGGACCGGATATCACCACTGTGACAACCGTATCCCTACAGTTTTTTCCTCCATCTTGCGATGGAGGAAAAAACTCAAAGTGCCAGACCCAATGTGTGTCTATAGGGAATCGGATGTGTCCATTTACATCAGATTATCCCCGGTCCGGCCCGTCAAAAAGAATCAATGATCGGTCTGTCTTACCGCACCTAGCCGGAGCTAACTGGGTGTAAACGGATGCTCATCCCTTTACACACTGCTGCCCATAGACTTGTATAGAGCGTCCCATTGGTTTCGGCAAAAAACTGACAAACGGACCCGATGGGACCCCATGTGAAAAGGGTCTTAGTAGGACTCCATTTGAGATAATGATCCAGGAGGTTGTGCACTTTGGTCTCACTGTACCAAAACTTTCCACAAATCTAAAAAGTGAATACAGTTATGACCATACAACTGTAGCATACATACATTTAAGTGATTTTAAAGCCCAAATTTCAGTTAAAATTGGCTAAATACATTCCGGGGGCATCAAATAAAAGGTGTTCAAAGTTTTTAGCTCGTTTTCTCTAGAATGTAGCCAGAGCTTGAGTAGAAAACCTCTCCACTCCAGCATGCTGTAGTGAAGGATCCTGTGTGGAAGCCATGGTCTCTCTGTTAGTTAGCCCTATAGCTCTGCAAGCAGCAAAGCTTGTGCTCCCTGCTGATTAGAGATGCAGCTCTGACTCAGTAGGTGTGTCGAACCTCAGCAAAGAGACCACTCCTTCCCCACAGAGTGTAAGGGTCCTTACTACTGCATGATTCCAGGGGACAGCCTTTTTAAATCAAGCTGTGGCTGCTTGCTCAAGAAAATGAACTGCAAGACATTAAAGATTTTTCACTTTGCTTCACCTCAAATGTATTTGGCCAATTTAGACAAAGTTTAACTGGACTATAAGCTGTGTCTGTTTAGACAAATATCTTGTTAGATTTACATGACTGGACCACTACTGGCTCGCTATAATGTTAGGTGAAGGAAGTTGTAGTTTGGATTCTGTAACAATGTCTGGTACGGAACAGCAGAGATTAAAACTGGGAAGATTTAAAACTATAGGAGATTAAAACTTTACAATTCTCAGACATCAAATTCCTTGTTTTTAAGAAAGGCTTCCTATAACATATAGCTAATCCTGGTTTATCTTCCTGTGGTCCCACCATGTATGAAGGAACACAGGAAAGTCTGAGACGTCACAAGCTGTGCTCCTAATGTCACTGCGTCAAATATGAGTGACCTTATAACTTTACTATGTGGTTTTCCAAACTGGCCATAATGCAGGGATGCACATTTGGTAAACAAAAAACAATTTACAGCATACACTAAGCTGTTTGCAAACAGAAAGGAATAATTTGTTCTGAAGTCGCAGGACACGAGAAACACCAGAGAGCTTTTCTGACATAAAGCTGGCTCCTCTAATTACATCCCAGTCACAACTTCAATTATCCCCTATCAGCCCAGGGCCTGGAGGTCATTCTATCAGCCCCATCGTGCTTGGGAATGAAATTTCCAGGGTGAGGCCACCCGACAGCTCGGCCAGAGCACTATCTCTTCTCACGCTGACAGCTAAATTATTTTTTTAAATTGAAAAAGTAAACATGTGGGCTCCGCTCGGCTGATAAGGGTCAAAAATGCTGAGCTGCCAGACTAATAAACACCGGGCGCTTGTGATCCTCGCCAAGTGTACTGAGCAAAAATAAATAAATAACAGTATTTCTGGGGAAAAATAAATAAATAAAGCAGAGGTGACAAGGTGAAAAGTGTCCTGCAAGGGACTCTGCAAGTTCTGCCTGACAGGGAATACCAGCAAAATATGCAATACATAGAAAGTATAGAAGAGGGTCCCCATGTATGGCAACTGACATTAAAGAATACATGTAAACATTTAGCATTGTTGAGGTTGAGTGTGTAAAAACACTAAGGCCTGGTTCACACCTGGGCATTTTGTAGCGCGTTTGAACGCTCTGCAAAACGCTCAAACACCGAAATCCCATTATTTCCTATGGGTATGGTTCACACCTGGGCATATTACAGGCCGTATGAACGTGCTACAAAACGCCCAAAGAAGTACAGGAGCTTCTTTGGGGCGTTTTTGTCGCACGTATCCATTGGGATACAGCCAAGTAGCCCTCGGAAACGCGCGTTTGTCACTCGGTTTTTCTACAGCGAATCACGGTAAAAACGCACGTCACAAAACGTGCGACAAACGCGCATATTCCATACGTCTAGGTGTGAACCCAGCCTAAGAGGTCAGCTTTCACCTATCCCAGCAGCTCCAGCAAGTCAATTCTTCTGGTCAGCATTAAGGATGGGCTCGGGCGTGTTCGCAGCTCCACGTGCCGAGCCCGCCAGGAAGCTGACCAGAAGAATTTCCCGGTCCGCAGCTGCAGAGATCGGGAAATGTCTCAGTGCCTGTGATTGGTGCTGCGCGCTGTCAGCTTCCTGGCGGGCTCGGCACATAGAGCTGCGAACACGCTCAAGCCCATCCTTAGTCAGCATCTGCCATTCTGCCAGATTTTACATTCACCTGCCCCCATCACCCTCCACACATTATTTTGAGTGTGGACAGGACGGTGGGTAGCTGATGTGGTATTAGCTTTTCACCAGAAGCACACTTTATGGGACAGTCTGCAAAATATTTATTTCTTTTAATTGACTCAATCTAGTACAGAGGAGCAACTTTGTGCTGTAATCCCTAACCACCAATAATCTTGGCTACATGATCCTGTACAATTTACCTTTTTCATGAAATCGCGTGCTTTTATCTCGCTCGTTTCAACCTTCTTCTTATCAATCAAATGATCTGAAATAAAACATACGTACAGTAAAGGACATGCTGGACAAACATGCACATTGTGTGCTTCACGTTTTACACTGTTAGAAGATCCATCAGGCCAAGCTACTTATTTTGTAATTATAAGTTTAAAGGAACTTGCAACTATTTAGTATAAATGTGCCAGCACAAATAAAAGGATGTTTGTACTCACCTTAAAATCCTTTTTATGGAGTCCACTGAGGGACATGGGAAGTCTTAACCCCCAAAAAAATTAAATTGTAGGCCAGCACAGGATAACCCTTCAACTACCAGCGTACCTAGGTTTTGTAGCCAAGTATTACCAAGAGCATGATCATAAACACAGTGGGTGTCCCTCAATTGACTGCAAGAAAATTATTTTACTTAATTACAAAAATCCTATTTTCTTTCTCATCCATTGAGGGACACTAGAAGTCTTAAAGACTTAAGAACTCCAGACAAAAAAAAAAAAAAAAGCAAAAAACATATCCTCGCAGTCTCTACTGGCCCATCACTTTGACGGGCTGCCTCACTAGTCAAAATCTCTTTCTCACCCAGTTTATACAACTTCACCTCATACCTGGCACGTTTAGTGGATACATACTGCTTTATATTAGGTCTGCCTGCAAACTATACAAGGGACTCATCGATACAGAACAAGCTCTTTCAGCCACTTCCCGTCTACAACCATATGCTTCAGTGACAGCCGCATGTCAGCCGGCTTCCTAATAGTGACAATGGTGGAACATGACTGCACAGTGAACATTGGCATGGTTGCATCAGAAGAGTGGAAGACAAAGAGTGGAAGACAAGGACAAAACACTGACACACCATTAAAGGATGTGCATGAACTAGAACCTTAAGGGAATTAGTTGACCGGTATTATTTTCAAAGCAGTAGGTTTAAAGTCCTACAACATCTTCTCAAGAAAAGTTGTTTTTTTAAATTCTATAACATTTCTCTTAAAAAATGCAGTTATAGCAGTACTCATCTTCTCTCCAGTGCTACCCCCCACAGAAACTCTGTTCAGTCCAGTAGCTGCTGCCTTGCTTCCGGACTGAATGATGCCCAGCCTCAGTGAACCTAGAAATCAGAGTGTCATGGCTACAATTCCTGTATTTCTCTGAAATCCAAAAGGAGTAGCCTTCAGACACACACATCACTGTAGTTTGACATGTGTAATTATCAGTGTACCCTACCCACAGGATGATGCTAAATCAAGAGCAATGCAAGGTTGAAGGTCATGTGAGCACAGCTTCATGGTAACATACCTTTGATTCTTAGTCAGTCTATATCAACATTGGCTTATATTCTATAGACCTACTTTTTAAAAAGTAGAAGCATAACTGCTGTACTCATTTACTCTCTACAGTGCACCTGACCCATTCATCCTGTCAGTTAGCATCCTCCTGTCTCTAAAAACCCAACGATATTACTCAGTTCAAGACTCACTACTTGAATAAATAGACTGATGCCCGCATTCTGCATTGCAATAGCATAAGCAAGGCTTGATTATCACCATTCATCTCAAGATTCATTCACCTTTACTCTTCTCTATCAAACTCGTCTTTATGTAACACAGAAGATCCTCATGTAACCCTCACTGCTTATTTTCTACATTTTTACTCTTTTCATTCCATGACTGCAAGGCAACCAGAGTCAGCCCAAAAGGGAACAAGAAATGTGATTCTAAATAAAAGGTCTTTTCAGCAGTTGACAGTGATTATGCTGGGTTAGCTTCTGAATGCTATTCTGAGTTCTTGCTAGACCTTTCCATGAAAACGTAACCAAGCTGTGTCTTATAGGGAATATATAGTGGTTTGTACATGTGTTATTGCTTTGTTATGATCAGGAGTCAAGCAGATAGGACATTTTGCATATGGTTTGCCATACATTATAAAGCCATTTGTGATTCCAGTAGTGCTTAGTAGAGTTCAACCTAAACTGGATTTTTAATACAAAAAAACCTTATTTGATTAGTCCATATTTCCTGGTAATCTACAGGGGGATGGGATTCCCAAAACTGCTTAAAATACTTTGCAACCAGGAGTCTACCTGGGGAAATACAGTGTTGCTAATTCAATACTAAAGAATTTTATGGTAATCTATAGTAATTATAGATCACTATTAGAAATAACCGGAGACATACAGGAGGGGAAACCTCTCTTAATCACTACAATAGTAGTGATTAATCACTACAATAGTAGTGATTAATCACTACAATAGTGATGAAAAACAAACAAGACATTTTAACCAATTCAGAATCATAGGATGTACCTGTACGTCCTGGTCTTAAAGTGGTTGATTACTGCATACATAGTACTTTATATTAGGCCTGCCTGCAAAGTGGACAAGGGGCTCATCGATAGACATTTTTGTGCGGTGTATATGTTTCTGAAAAGGAACAGATGAGCGGATCACAGAGCGGCACAGAGAAATGTCACTTAATTGCATCAATCTCATTATGATCGGATACCGTGTCCTGGTCATGACTGAAGACTATATGGACATGTGGTGGATTGGCTGTGTAGACCAATATAATTGCAGTTTTTTTTTTCTTTCTAAATGACATGTTTAAGCCAAGAAATATTTCAAATTCTGATACAATGATAGGCTTCCTCTGAAACTGTCTGGCATAAATGGAATCTGAAATACTGGCAATGAACTGTCCAGCATGAAGGTTGCATTGTTCTAAAATTAAATTAAAAATAAATCCTATATACTATTTATGATGCTGATGGAAGGACTACCCTCCCTTTTCATCTGGTCCCAAGATCCCTGACCCCAATTTTCCATTATAAGGATTGCTTCTTGGCTTGCAAGGTCCTGCCGGAGCCAATGTTTCATGCACACAGCTTCAACATGTAGTTTCATGCTTTAACATGTACAGGTAGCCCAAAAGGACATTAATCAGAGGTCACCCCCTCTGCTCCTCCTCCAAGGGAAGCGATTGATTGCAGCTCCTGAAGCTCCTGTTACTGAAGAGGAGCTTAGGCTGTTGTCCGTTTGGACTACCTGTGTGTGTCGGCACAGTGTGTTCTCACAACAGGCAACAGGGCACGCATAATTAGTGGCGGTTAACCCACTGGGAAATGTAGTCCCAAGTAAAGGGATTTATATTTTGAGTGTGCCGTCCACGTGGAAATAGGGAAAAGTCAAACAGGATGACACTGCAATATGTTTCTGCAGTTTTTTAAAAAGGAATAGGTTATTGTTCTGGCCAAAAATGTATCAACTGTTGTGTTGTTGATACAAAAAGAAAAGACTTTAGTAATACTTTAAATATAATAGTCATTTGGTGAAACAAAATTATTGTAGGGGGGCAAAATTTTCAGCTTCCACCTTAATAACTGGTTGGGCTGTAAATGGAGTCTACTAAATTAGGGCATAGCCACAAAGGATTTAAAAATGCCACTGGAACTGTGTTGCCCTAATTTTTTATGCCTGATTTTCACCCCACTGTTATAACTTGCATCATGCTTTTCTCTAGGAAGCATCATAATGTTGTTGCTGGCCATGGTGCATTTCACTTGGGAAAAAGGGAGAGGGGAATTGTCTGCTAATCACAGCCAGTGTTTACTAAGGGCCGGTTCACACCACAAACCGTGCGTTCCAGAGCGGTCAGCCTCTGGAATGCACTGTATTAGGGCTGCAACTAACGATTATTTTTATAATCTATTAGTTTGCTGATTATTTTTTCGATTAATCTTAAAGAAAAAAACATTAAATACCATTTTTTATTTAGAATGAAATACACAAATGGAGTGTTACAAAGTTTACTTCAGAATAAAACGGAATGCACATTTTTTGCAATCACAAGGCACTGGAACGCACACTGCATTGCAGTATTGGGCGTCCCAGCGCGGGCGGTCACACTGCGGGCGGGAGGCACCACAACGCACATCTTGCAGCAGAATGTATCAGGCCGAAAGCAAAAAAAATATACAATTCTTATTATCGATTATAATCAATTTTATCACTTAGTTGTATCAGCCCTACACTGTATCGCAACCTGGCCAGCTCCCTGTATACAGGGGCGGGAGGGGGCGACGTGGTGCACTGAAGTCAATGGCACCGCAGCCACGCCACCCCCTGCAGTGCGATCGCCCTCACCCTAACACGTGGCACATCAGTGCTTCCGCTCTGGTACAGTGCGATCTGCAAAAATAGTGCTTGCAACATTTTTGCAGATCACACTGGACCAGAACACAGTCAATGATGTGCCACGCATTTGGATGTGGGTGCATTGAAGTCAATGACATCGCAGCCATGCCCGCCTCCCGCCCCTAAATGCAGGGAGGCGGCTGGGTTGCGATACAGTGCGTTCCAGAGGTTAACCAGTCTGGAACACACCGTTTGTGTTGTGAACCGGCCCTAAAAAAGGTTCATAAATCAGACACAGCTGCTGTGAGAGGAAGGGGATCAGCGTTTACTAAAGAGGATTGCTGATCAAGTTTAATTAAGTAAAGCCTGTACAGTGTAAACAAACACGTTTTTAAATGTCCTGTCCTATCAGAATAGCAGGTTCCCTGTGTGCTTCCATCTGTATCAAATCCTTTGCCTGTAAATAAGTCTTATACGCTGACCTTTTTTAGGGTGTTTCTGTGTGCGCGAGACCTTAAGCTGCTGGCCTTTAAGTTATTGATGTTTCTGTAGTTTAAGCTTTATTTATTTTACAGTTTAAAAAAAAAAAAACATGGCATCAAAACACTTTCTTTACACTTACCAATCAAACTTTCAATTTCTATACTTATGCGTCGACATTTAAAGTCTGGATCAGCTCCATTTTTGTGCAGGATTATCTGAGACACAACTTCATCGATCAGCTTATAGTACTGTGGCCTAAAAAGAAAAAGGGAAAATCAGCAAATATTGCAGCACGCTTTATAATATTGCCTACTGTCTGAGATAAGAAAAGAGAACATCCTGTAGTGCTGGCACACATCAACTTTTAGAAAGTAAGCGCTCACCAGAAGGGCCCTCCTAACCATTATTTCTTGACAATGTACTCACCAATTAATCCTTTGCTTGCAGTCCACTGAGGGAAACAGGAAATCTTAAACCATTGGGTTTAACTGCTGCCTACAGGAGGACCCTCAGTGTATAACCCATCCTACAACCAGGATGACTCAGTTTTGTAGCTAAAGAACTCCAGGCAGAAGAAAATGTAACCTTTGCAGTGGGTCTACCCCGGCACAGCAGGGATTAAGTGCTCGTTTTGGTCTGGGGTCTAAAATAACAAAGATATTCTGATCCAACCCAGTCCCTGCAGTCTGGCTCACCCATCGCTTCAGCGGTGGAAAATCCCTCGGTGTCCTCACATCCAACACACTGTATTGGACATGATGACTCACGGGTTCTTAGACAGCCAAAGTGAAGGGGGAGAGAGGCTACAGGGACTGGCCTAGAAGCCAAGTGTGATTGAGGTCCGGGTCTGTGAGGTAGTGACTTCTGTAGAAATGACGTCCAAAACGTTTTGAAGTGTTTTTAGGTTGTCTCTTCAATAAAGCTACATATCTACAAAGATGTTGGAATTATTCAAATTATATCATTCTGGAGCTGAACAAGTTTTCTGTGCATCTGATCGGAGGCTCATCAGAACCGGATTGCTTTCCTCCAGTTACAAAAACCTAAATCATAAAACATAAAAGTACGACTCCAGCCAAAACATTTTATTGGAATAGAGGGGGAAACAGTTTGATTTCCACTTAGGTTTTTATTGCAGTATACAAATCCATACAGCAGCAGACCCGCTAAGCCTCAATAGCGGAGTGCATAGCTCACGGTGATACAGTAGTAACTGGTATAAAGAGAAATACAGCACTGGAGTAGCGGCTTTCTCTTTATAACAAGTCTCTATTGCAGTCTGTGACCCTGCTAATTCAACTTCTTTATTTGTCCTGGTGACCACTGTCAAAGTTTTATATTAGTCACCAGAACAGCAATAGAGGGGAAAACTAATGGTCACCAGTTCTGGTGACAACTACAAGAAGAGTGGCATCATTCACAAAAGCACAAGTCCACAACACTAGGCAGCTACCAATACTTGCCCTAGAGAGACTGTTTTTGTGGATGATCCTCTCCATCTGCTAACATTCATAACAATACAAGCCGTCACATATTACTCCACTCTCTATCCCCTAGCTGGAGTAGCTGGAGGGGGTGCTGGGTCTGAGCTCAGTATTTCTTGCTACTTCAAAGAAGCTGGCAGAGGAGATCATAAAGGCAGAGGGCTGCATGCCAGAGCTGAATATGTTTGGTCTGTCAGTTTTCAGGAGGTGGGGGTTGTGCAGGCTCTGTGTGTACTGCCTGTCATGTCCAATCTCCTGTGCACTGCCAGTCAGAACTGCTGTCTCCTTCCTCCAGCGGGGAAGGGGGGGAGCAGTGATTTGTCAATGCTGCTCAGTAACCCCAACACAGATTTGAATGGGACCAACAGGATGTGCACTGGCTCCCCTGGGAAGATCAACAAGCTCCTTTAGTGGCTGGTAAAACCTTTTCATTAAATGCAATTGTGCTCGATGGAAAAACAATGCTGCTCAACAACCCCTACCCAGATATAAATGGGACCAGGTCAATATGCACTGGGTCCCCTTGGGATTTTAACAAGCTCCTTAGTGGTTAGCGAAACCTCTTTTTTAAGTGCAATTGTGCTAGTCTTAAAAATAGTTGTGTTGTCCATAGCACACAACTATTACTCCTAGAGAATACTTAAACATAATATAAATTTTGGGATGGCCTTGCAGTTAATATTATAAAACAATCCAGGGATTTATTGGGGAATTATCATTATAATGAATAAATCACTTAACATGAATCAATATGGAGCAAGCTAGCATTATCAAATCTGATTATAATTTTAATGTTCAATAAAAAAATTTACCAATTTGTTACTTTACCAGCAACGCACGTAACAACCTAGGCAAATATTACCAGATGCATTGTGGTGGAATAACATGATCAGGAGAGTGAAAAGGGTCTATTGCTTTCAGCAGTGAGATATAAGCATCAGCAGGAAAGAAAATCCTGCTTATGTAATGGTCAAATAGAGCTGCCCTCATTTATATTTTAAAATATATATATCCGACTATATAAAAATGTTTTAAAATATTTGGACACTTTTATAAAACGGTTTACTTTTAGTTGATTTTTTCTTTTTATTATAGAAACATAAAAAAGGCCATAGATCATCTTTAAATGGCTGTATACATCAAAACATCTATGCTTTAGACCTAAACGATGGACAAAGAAGGCAGGAAAAAGTGACAGAGAAGTCTGGTTTCAAAAGAGGGTCATTTGGAAGGTATACTTTAAGTAAATCCACATGCTCCCTCGCACAGTCAGATATTTCACTCTAACACATAGCAATTTTAATTTAATAGAAAGTTTTAAAAAAGTACAGAGCGTTATAAACCTCCTGCAAAACAGACTGTTGTGACTGTCTTTCAACGTTCTGACCAGAGGCGTCTCAGCATGGTATAAGGTTTTTCTCATGAAAGATCACTGACCAAGCCTCTTTGAAGTTATGTGCTTTCAAAGTTTAACTGGCGAAGAAAGTTTGCTTTAGAAGGGGATGTTTGCAAGTTATAAATAAAAAAGGGCATTTTTTTAAAATTTAAGATGCCAATATTTTCCTGATATTAACACTCTCACTGAAATAATGCTAATAGGATCAGCCATTCTTTCATGCCAAGAGCTCAACTGTGGTTTCGGTTTATTCCTGATTAAATAATTTATAGCAACAATTTCAGTCTGCAGTGAATATAAATGACCTTGAGTGACTGAGCCTTTTTTTTTTTTTGGAACAAAACTGGCGATTAATTTAAAGCCCAACTAAACTTTCAGTTGGAATTCACTAAACAGATTCTAAGAACATCAAAACAAAAAAGGAGTCTTGCAGTTCCTTTTCTTTAGAAAAAAGTCACATTCTGAAGAGCAAGACTTTTGCTATCTGTGTGGAAACAGCGGTCTCTGTAGAGGTCCAACACACTCCTCATGTTGAGTGACATCAGAAGGGCTGTGCTGCAAGTTTTCAACTTGCAACAGAGCCCCTGCTAATGTTCCCCCACAGACAGTCCAGCTTCTGCACTGACAGGGGACATTATGACAGGGGACATTGATGGGCATTGTACACCACCAGCCATGGTTTTTGAGGTCCCTTGCTCTTCTGGGGGACCTGTAGACCATGGCAATATGGATGGAACTCCTTTACGGCACAGCAGCCCCCACTGGACCTCAGGGTGAGGATCCACTCCAGTTCTCGATAAGATAGGGGGACTGGGTGGATCTTAAAAAAAGAAAAAACACATTTAAAAAGAGTGTGTATGTGTGTGTGAGAATGCCTGAGTGTGTGAGATTGTGTCTGTGGTTGTGTGTGTCTGTCACACTAGTACAGAGCGTTAATTGCACGGTCCAGTGCAATTGCCGCATTGTACGACGCAAAATCACACCTACTGGAAATTCTGGTGTGGGAGTTGTGTTGCATTCCCATTCATTTGAATGGCACCCCAAAAGCACATCCTGCCAAACAGTTTGATAATCCGCACCAGAAAGTACTGTACCGCAATGCCATGCGTTCCGATGTGGTGCAACTTGGGTCATGACTTAGTGGCCAAGGACAAATGTGGGTCCTGAGGTTACACAAGCTGAGAACTACTGATTTAAAGCATTTCATTCCAAGATAGTACACCTGCACAGAAGAAACCTAGTAAGCACTCTTGCTTCACAGTGTTGGGGTCATGGGTTCAATCCTACATCAGGGACACTAGCTGCATGGAGTGTGCATCTTCTTGTGTTTGAATAAATTTCCTTTAGTTATTCTGTTTCCTCTTACAATTCCAAAACAAACTGGTCATTTGATCAGCTAAACTTGCTGCATGCGCACATGTGACTGTATCAGAGACATTTGGTTTCTGTAAGGGACAGGGACTCACGCTTAATGTTTGCTCTAATGCATTGTGGAATGTGTGAGTGTTATATACATAGGTAAAATACTGCAAGTGAAAAGAACTACATTTCTCACAATACAAAATAAATGCCCCATATACGTGCTGTATAATATAGCCAGATTATCAGCAAGAGGTATTATACAGGCACGCAGACCTCTCACACACTCCTGTATGCACCAAGACAGCCAGTGTCACGTTTTGTAAAAAATCTGCAAGCATACGTTTCCTGCATTACTGCTTAAAAAAACAAACACATGGAATCCCTTTGGGAACAATTCCTAGGATGACAAAGGGATGAAAGTACAGAAAATTGTTTATCTATATCCAGTTGAAATCTAATCTGATTTTGATTACGGTATGCCTTTGCAAGCTAGTGCTCAGCCAGAGAATAGACCATAGTTAATACAATTAACACTGGACCATTAGCAATCAAACAGCCCCTACTGTGGATAGCAGTCGTATCTAACCTTAAGTGTTATCTGAAAAGTAATGGCCCTTTGATGGTCATGCTATTCTGTAAATAACCAGCTTAGGGTGCTGTTGCACATGAATAAATAAAATAAACACTTTTGAAATAAAAAGTCAATGTATTCATTATGGAGTACGAATGCCATCTGCTGGTAACTCAGGAGAAACATATATTTTGTACCCACAAGAGACATCACCTTTCCTACCAATTTGATAGTCAAAGTAAGGGAAATGAAATCCATTCGCTCTTGTAAGTCATCCATATTGTTCCCTTACGCCTATACAATATCCTAAAATGTCAATTGTCTAGCGGAGCTAACTACATTCAGATTATACAGTGTCACAGGAGAGCATACAGGGGTAACCATATGGGAGCCCATTGGGAGGTCCATTGTGAGGATCTCCCAAGATACCAAAATAAAGGTATTCCTGAGCCCCCAAGACAGACACAACCTGGTCTTCTGTGCCAGGGACTTGACTGACTTGTCCCAGGATGACAGAATGCTGGGGTCTGGAGTGGAAGTTGGCGAATGAGACGGTCTTGAAGGAGGCTAATATCAGCCAGAATTCGTATGCAGAAGCAAAGAGTCAGGCAACTCTTGGTCTGAAGAGCCTGGGAGTGAAGAGTTAGAACTCGCTCCTGGGAAAGAAAATTTCTAGCTGGAGCTCTGTCTAGGATAATATCCAGATATTCCAAGTAATGAGTCTGTTTCAGCGCTCACTTCTTAAGGTTCAGTACCCCGTCGTACCTCTGCAAGGCCTGGACACAGTCCTGGCTATGTTGCCCACCAGAGCCTGTGTCGACTGTTCCCTAAACAGGAGGTCTTCTGGATATCCCACAATGGGGATTCCCTGGGAGTGTAGGAAGCATAGCGCAGGAGTTAACACCTTGGTGAATACCTGAGGTGCAAGAGATGAGAAGGAGATAAGCGTCAGGGCCACACACTAAAAGTGATGAGCTCGAAAAATGGGAACATGTAGGCATTTGTCTTTGATTTCCACAGATGCCGTAATGTTTTCCTGATGAAGGGAGACTATGACAGACCTGGTAGAAACGATATGACATTTCTGGACCCGAATGAAGATTTTTAGGGTCTTGAGGTCAACGATGGGGCAAACGCCCCCTTTGTGTTTGGGAAATTTGAATAGATTTGAGTGTTCCAGAAGGCCCGCATGGGGCTGCCTAGGGTTGCATGGAGAACTGCTAATCAGTGTGGTGTCACAGGTAGGTTGGAAAAAATGAACTGAAATGGAGAAGGGAGCAAAATTCTAGCTTGTAACCCGTGGAAACGACCTCTTGCACCCAAGCATTTGATACGCTGGTTGGCTAAATGTCCCTGAAGGCTAACAGATGTCCCCCCACTATGGAAAGTGTGGGCACCCGCTCGTGCTGAACATAATTTATCTGAGGGTTGGGAATGCTTAGGTTGGTTATAGGAGGTATAGAGGTTGGTTTACTAAAGTCAAATAGTCTGTTCACTTTGCAAGGTAATGCTCCCTTATCTTAGTGAATAAGGTAAAGCTATGAAGACTTCTACCATCCAGTCATATGCAAGCAAAAATAATGCTTTTTCTTGGGGGTTTTTTCCTTGCCTCTGATTGGGTATTCTTTGCAAAATGATTTTTTACCACATTCACTAAGCTAAGGGAAAATGTCCTTGCAAAGTGAACAGCCTGTTTGTTGGGTTGATTTACTGAAGACAGTGTTGATAAATCATACTACTTTCTGCTCGAGAAGGCGTCCAGCATAATAGAAATTCAGGTAGGAGAACCCAGCAGTTCCCAGTATGACAGAGCCTGAGAGCTATTGGAATTGAAACGCGACATCTATAAAAGTAAAGTAAAAGATGATTTTCATTCTCTCTCCTATGTGCTCGCGTGTCACTCTCAGTATTCGACTGATACTCCAAGTCAGATAGAAATCACACGTGTGTCAGTTTTATTCAAGTTCCACTTTGGATAAATAAAGCTGGCAGACAAATTTCCACCTCCAGCGCTGTAAGGACATTTTCCATTGTCAGTGTGATTGCTTCCTACCTTGCATCATAGTCATTTCGGATGAGTAAGAGATGCTGCAGGATAGAGAGGAACAGCTGTTCTGCCGGGGAGTCTTTCACTGTGTTCTGAAGAATCTGGAAGACTTCTTGCATATCAGTAAAATCAATGTTAAGGGAAAAAAGCAGGCCCAGAAGTCGATTCTATTAGTTACAGAATTTATAGAAAAACCTTTCCAGAAATAAAACAGAGGATGTCATTTCTAAATTCTCATTCTGAAAATGCTAGTTTCCTGGCTGCGATACTCACATTTTTGCTTCAATACTTTGTGTCACTAGCCCCTAAAAAGTATGCAGATGAGGACATTGGAATTTCCAAAGATTTAAAGTCAGAGTCAGGAAGGCTAGCATTTTTAAGGTGGTTATACACTTTACAACCCTCGCAAGACTTTTGTCTTGCGAGGGGCAGATCGTACTTTTTTTTAAGTACTTTACAACCATCTTGGACAGGCAGATCGTACTTGCGATCATCGCAAGCCCGCCCCCCTGAGGGACAGGCTTCCGATGACTGCAATGAGGGGCGGGCTTCCGATGACTGCAAACGGGCAGTGTGCGCGTGCACACCGGCCCGTTCGACAGTTGTCAAACAAGCAGGCCACTAACCCGCCGAGAATCGTACGATTCCCGGCAGGTTTTCCAGCCTGCTTGTTCGAAGGAAGACGTGCGATCGTACAGTAGAAACGGTCGCACGCCTTCCGTACACTTTGCGATTATCTTACGATTGCGGGATTTCCCGCGATTCTCCTAAGATAATCGTACAGTGTATGGGCACCTTAAGAATGGGTCAGCAAAGGCAGCCCTCATATTATTCTCCAAAAACATTTATTTTAAGTAATACTAAAACTAAAAAACTGTCCTCTAACATGGGTTTCAAACCTGGAAGAGCACTAGTTTCCTAACAGCTTTCAGCTGGTAGCCCCCGCTCAGTCTATTAAGACACGAGGTTGTTGGCAGTTTTCCCTAAAAATGGCTGAATTGGGCACCACTTCATTGTTACACTTCACTTACCATTTCATTTTGTGCTGTGAACTGTACAACAGCTGGACTGCTTGTTTGGGATAGACCCATTAAAACATACCAGGTATCCCTGCTGCGAAACATGAGAACCGTTCAGTCAACTGTGGACATCCCTCTAAATCCTTGAATTCAGGTGTAAAAAGCTTTCTGAAAAGGTTTCCCCAAAGAGTGGAGATGATAAAGGGTGGGGGGTTCCAACTCCATTTCAATGTGCCTGGTTTTGAAGTTAATAAAAGGTGAAATAGGAAGGCGGCCTCAAACATTTGGCCAGAAAGTGTTTAAAGTTATCTTAAAAGCCTATCACCAATAAGAAATTGTAAATTCTGTAAGCAACCCAGAGATTTTTATGTAATATATTCTGCCCAGTGTGTGACTGTATGTATAGTCTTACAAAGAACAGACTGTAAAAAACAGAACTCATTTCTAACATTTCACCTGCAAATCTTCTTTGTACAACTGCATAAAGGACACATTTGGATGTTTACCCTACATTACACTACGAACAAGAACATTCTTTTTTTGTCCAGGTATGTACTGCCACCCTGTGGCAAATGGTAAAAGCTGTGCCAGAGGATATAACAATAGAACAAGTTACATCATTTACTATGGCTTTCTTTTTATTTTATTCTTAGTATGTCTCCAGTTTTTATCGAAGGTGGAAAATTACATTTTCACTTTACCCAAAAGTGATGTTTTATTTATGCGACACCTGGTAGGCTGAAACCGGTCCACGGCTTGTTACTTTTTTGGGATAATCCACAGTAAATTCTACCTGCCATAATTCCCTATAACGTTTGTCTGCCTGGAAGCTTTGGGTGTTCCCTCTAACCTTTCAGCATCTTCCGTTGCATTTCTCATAATATAAATACGATTAGCAAGTAGAACTCAGAAGGTGTGCAGACCCAGAATGAATGCAGGGACATCTCATTAATAAAAGTCCTCAAAAGAGATAAACAAAACTTTTGGGTGGTTTAACTCTCTGTAATAATCTGTCAAGATATGTTTTGGATTCACTGACCATTTATAAGAATAATGCTGGTAAAATACAGACCAGGGCCTTTTCAAGGCAAAATGGCAGCCTGACATTGTGCCTGTGCTGGCCAAGATCCCAGTGGTCAACCCATCAGGATATTGTACACATAATAAAAAGGTATGCCAGTGGTCAGAAAGTATGAAAAAAGAGAATCTCCTTATTAATGAGTTGTAGAAGGCAACAGATTATTATAATATAGGGCAGGGGTGCCCATTAGGTAGATTGTGATCTACCAGTAGCTCTCAAAGCTGATGCTGGTAGATCACGAGGGTGTGAATGGTGGCCCCTTTTGGTACATTTATTTAGCTGTGCACACATGATTACCTATTAGCCTGAGTCTGCTGAGCCAAGCTCCCCGACACCTTTCTGGTGGATACTGGTGGTTGTAGTGCTATGTATTAAATCAAAGAATATTAGTTTACACAGCCTGTTGCACTGCACTGTTTGCAAAATACAGTAAGGAGAGACAGACAGGAAATAGAGCAAGGAGAGAAAGCCAGGAGGATGAGCGAGGAGAGTCAGCCAAAAGAGAAAGAGGGAGGGAGGTTGTTTTTTTTTATTGGTAGATCGTCATTTGAAAAGTAGATCTTAACACAACAAATTGTGGGCACCCCTGATATAGGGTATATTTATTAGTTCGCAGAGCCATTTGTTCTGCGAAACTGACATGTAAATTCCTTCTGTTCAAAATCGAATGTTGTTTTGTGCAGAATGAATGTAAATGTCAAAAAATACCACATTACAGCCATGAGATGGAGCAGAGGAAAGAAGAATGTTTTTTCTATGCAAATGGCTCTGCGTTGTTTTTATATATACACCCCTATGTGTAAGCACACTGTGGTAAACTTGTTAAAAGGAAAATTTACCTAAACAGAATCTCTCTGTAACAAATTTCTAAAAGACCCCTGGCCTTGACAGAGATATCACCTCTACCTCTGTTTACTGAAGGATTGTAGAACTGTTCTCTTTAGTTTCCTAAACAATTTTTTAGGCTTTTAAAAATTATTGTGAAAGGATATTCCATCTCCACTCGAATGTCATCTAACCGCCCACGTAAGTCATCAGCATCATATTCAGAGTGTTCCATGAATACACTAAGCTGTACCTTCAGTTCATCATTCTCTATATTGTGCAGATCCTTAAAAAAAAAAAAAAAAAGTGCGATTAGTAGTCAGATAAAGCTTTCACATATCTTGCATTTCCACAAGAATACATTATTTGGGAATTTATGGAACTGGACCTTGAATTAGGAGCATGTTGTCAGTTTGGAAAAGCAGCTATTTGTTAGATCTTATAGTCAGGACAATACAAATAAGGGCAACATGTTCAACTCTACCTATCAGTTCATTGTCGCAGCAGGAAAGGCAACAAGGGCAAGTAAATGTAACCCTCAACTGGACTGGCTGCAACACTTGTAGACATTTTCTGACATTGGTTCAGGGCCACTGATTGGAAGGCTCTGCCTGAATATCACTTTGTCTCAGCTAATATCATGACATCAAATAACTAAGCCTGCAAGAATAATTTCTGGGGTGCATAAAAAGGTTCCTATTCTCTAGGATCTCTGCATTTAATGCATTATTTCAGAAGCTATTATGCCAATACATCTGACCCTCGATGATCACCTATTGCCAGTGTAATGTAAACTAACAAACTCATAACTGGCACATGGCAGTACCTAAAAGTGTATTTAGTTTTAGATAGATCAAGGAAGGGTTAAAACCCTATCAGGATATATTTTTTTTCTGTCTGTGTTCTGCTGGGGAGATTTCACTTCACTTTTTGTCTTGAAGATGCAACAGGAAGTGAAAAGAAATCTCAAAGTGAAGGGACATTTGTCTCCATTGAAAGATTTCCCCCTCACCTCTTGTTCTCGTAACAACTCTAAAATGTAGAATTTCCCCTCACTTTCTGTCTCAGTGACAATGGTCACCAGGGCAAACAAAGGGGGAAAATCTCTCCAGCCAGCAATAAAAAATTGACAGAGGGTCCAATACTTCACCATTCTATTCAAAACTAAATATACTGTGTGTACATATATACACCCCTTCTGTACATACACTTTAGGTAAAATCCATTCATCAGAATAAAATCCAGCAATATAGGCAGCTAAAACTTTTCCTATAAAAGTCAAACTTGACCCACCCCCTGTCACTTCCCTAATGGTTAGTGAGTCTAGCAATCAAAGTAATGGGCCAATAGGGAACATTTGTGGGAGAAAAGAGGGAGAGGGGGGGGGGGGCTGTAAGTTTACACGTTTGCAGTAATTGTCAAACTTCAGCTGCCTATAAATTTACATTACCTGGCTATTTTGACATGCATGTTTCAGCACCGGGAAGATGTCATTACATATTTGTTCATAATTCCCAGGCTTATTGCAGGTTTAGATTACCTTCAGAGGATTGTATGAAGAGAACGTAAAGATCATTTCCAGTGAGTCATCCTAACTGCATTTTAGAATATATGATATACACCATGGGACTAAATTATGTATTTCATTATCTGCCTGCAGTTGTTCTTTAACTGCGACTTCTCTGGACATAACCATGAGCCAAATTAGTGAAGTAGAAGTGAGAATCACTATGGACCAATACCTTCTAAAGTTTGACTGACTTTGCCCAGTGGCTAGTAGACCAATCTGCGTTCAGTATGCACAAAGCACACTTAAATGCCATAATTTTATAGAATCTGTTATCATACTGCTATAATTCTGTAAAATCTGTTATCATACTACTAAATGTACCATTGCCATTTAAAATTCCAGAACGAATAGATGGAGAAAACCTTGAAAGCATTCCTTTACCTTTAACAAGTTACTGAGTCCGGAACGCATCAATTCACTGCGTATGTGAACACGGAAATCCAGCTCATCTCCCTGGATAATCATGGCGTTGATTAGCTGCATACAGCTCACCTAAGGAATAAAGAATGGACATGTGATGGATGGATGGTTTTTCACCCGTAAGATGCAGATTTCACAAGTAGCCACTTTTAAATCTATAGCGTATGTTTATAATAAATATTTATATATAGCATTGCATAGCTTGCATATCTATTCTGACCTAACAGTGTGTTGCAGATAGAGGATGTAGGTTTCGCAGGTAGCCACTAATCTTGGGTCAGAACACCTGCGATTGTGACAAATCCTATGACCATGTCTGTTCGATGCCCCTTACGAGTTTCTGGTACAGCCAGTGGGGCACACCAAGTTGTGCAGAGGGGATGGTGAAACTAGCTTGTGTAAGCTGTATGTTATATTATTTCATACAACAAAGGTTTCCATTGGTATTTGGGAAAGGCATCTAAATAAATACAATATAGGAAACATTTTTCCTGGTGGTTTACAATAGCTCAGAAATGAGACTACATGCTAGAAAGGCAAAGAGGTTTTAGGAAGTGTGGCCATGAACAGTTTGATCCTGTCCCCTGAGTGGACAGTAACACTCAAAGAAGGGATGGAGTTGTTAATGGTCACCATGATTAGGGTTGGTTAAAATGTCTCTCTTTAGCAAACTTAAAGTGAACCTGCAGCCAGAGAATGGACATTCTCTGGGGTGCATAGTATTTACAAATTCTTAACAAGTAGTAAATTAGCTTTAATGCAAGCCCTCAATTACCTCTGTAGCTGCAGGTACTGCAAAGCAATTCATTTTCAAAATTCCCAGCTAAGGTTAAGCTCAGCTGCCACTGCCAACCCGCCCACCCCCCAAGCAGTTTTCCAATATCCAATGGAAACACCTGGGGAGGGAGGGCTGAACTATGAGTGAACAATATGGACAACTTAGTGCCTCTGCTATGTGGATAAGCTGCTCCATAGTGACTTAAACTACATCTGCTAAGTTTAGGTTTAAAGCTCATGTACTGTTTTTTAGAGGGGAACGCCAGCTAAAAAAATCTTCCAGAGCTGCCAGATGTCATTAGTTTTCCAGTATTAATGACAGCAAATTTTTAACCCCTTCATGACTGAGGCCCTTTTTTCAATTTTTGCAGCTGTGAAGCACATGCCCTCTGGGGATGCGCATCTTCAAGTCAGCCTGGGTCTTTTCTACAACTGCGCTAAACTGACATGTCAATATGTGAGCGCTGTTAAGTGCAGCAGCAATGACTGCCCAACGTCGCAGCTAAAGGAGAACCGAAAAGACTGTTGACAGCCAGAAGATCCTTGAAAAAAGTGTGTGATTTTACAGAATTGAGCTTTCACAATGTGTAAATCCTTGAATGTCCATAGCCTTGCCACTGGTATATTTTAAGTCAACAAGTAAGCTTTAAAATGTACATCAGCTACCAGTTGGTTAGGGGAGCAATTATATACTAAAGATTTGTATTATGAAAATGAAAAGATATTATGAAAATGAAAAGATATTATGAAAATTCAATCTGATCTCCAGGGAGGCGCGCCTTCGCCCCATCCAACACTGTAATGCAAGTGCCATTGAAAAGGGGGGTGGGGTGTATGAGTGCTGGGGTCTTGTTTGGGGGGGGACCAAGGGAAAGAAGCAGCACTTTTTGGTGCCTGCGCATGCCTATGTATCATGGTTTGTACAATTTTATATTTCAGGGACACTTTAGGGTGAAACTTCTTTTTGAAACATCTTGTTCTGATTTTTTACTTGTATCCTAATAATATAAAAAAAAACATAAAAACACCATCTCCATGCACAGAAGCACAGGCAATATTTCTATCTTCAAGTGTGGTATTAAGCAATAAAGACAAAACCCAAAAGGAAGATGCAATAATACCTTAAGTGCTACATGTGTTCCGCTTTTTAGCCCATCCAGAAGAGGTTTAAATCGTTCCATCTCATCCGTCTCTGCTCTTTCTGTGAGTGCTTCAAGGACGCGTTCATGCCTGAAAAGCAAAGCAATCATTACAAGAAAAATACAACAGTCGATAAGAGCCACAGTATTAAAAGCACAAAGTGAAATGAGACATCTAACAAAAACAGAGCATGGAAAATAGTTTTTTTTTAAATGCCGCTAAAAATAAACTGCATACTTTTCATAAAAAATCTTTTGCGTCAACTGCTTTAAAAACATGCAGAGGTGAAATGGCAAAAATTTTTAGGAGAGGATTACAAAAAAAGATAGTACAAATAAAAGTGGTGTAATGGGGAGTCATATTTTCAAAGAGCATACTTCCTTTCCAGTATTCCTATCATTTCGTTTCCTCATTTTAGATATAAAAAAAAAAAAAAAAAGAGAGAGCATCTAAAACCAAAACATTTTTTTAAAATTTTGGACATAGTAGGGAAGAGTAAAGGTGCCCATACACCGTACGAATATCGGTCAATTTTCGTATACAATCGCGTTTATGTCTGATATTTGTAAGGTTGATGGGCAGTGTACAAACCTCAAATACTCTACAATCGATCGACTTTTGACTAACCAGCAGTTTAGACAATTTCGGTCGATCTTAGAATTTCCCAAAGGTTGGTGGAGTTTCTGTATGTCAAAATTTGTAAGATCTACACTGCACATGCGCAGATGAAAATACATGAGGTCGAATACCACAATTCGTCCAGGTGCTTTCTTCTAATGACTGCTGATCCAACCTTACCATAATCGGGGCAGGATGGGCCCGCCGTACGAAAATCGCAAGGTTTATGGGCACCTTTAGAACTCCTTCAGGGTTCATAGCTGCTCTTGTCTCCACTAGGGAGATTCCCATTCTTTGTCCCCGAGATAATGTTAATGAATGAAGCGTATTCCTCTTGCACAGCACACTGGAATTGACTATGTGGTTAAGAAGCAATGAAATTGCGTGTGTAAGATATGTTGCCAACACCAATAAGTTTGTTTCAAAGTGAAATGCTCCTTCAAAGTGACCCTTCCTTACATACAAGAATAAAGACCTTTTCACTTTATTTCAGCAAAGTGCAGTAGACAGGGGTTAGTGGAAAGAGCTAGCATCAACAAGTTATTTGTAAAGCAGAGCACTTGAGTATTTATGTGTCCGAAGATGCAATGGAAGAAAACAATCCAACTTGCAGGTATCTGGGAGGTACCTACAATACAATACTATACAGTGTGAATTGAGGTTTTAACTTTTGCATGGACAGGGACAACACTCTTTCCTAGCCTGTCCTAGCCTGACATCAGTAGAGACACAGTGGGCTTCTGCTTGAAGGATAAAGCCCAGTCCATTACTATCACCCAGGAAAGCAGATGGAGAGAAAGTCCCTAACATAAGGGACTCTTACATAGAGGGCCATTGTTGTATCCAAAAGATAGGGTAGGGTAAAAACTATAACCCAAAGAGCTCAAAATGTACAACACACCGCTTCCTGGTGAAATGTAGTGTTCTTTCATATTTCTGTACATATTTTCTACGCACACAGTTCAGCTTTAAGCATTGCTCAGAGTCTAAAAGAGGACACAGTAATGGGCTCTGGTTTGGATAAATCTGCTTTACCATACTAGGTAGAGCTGCAGCTAACGATTATTTTCAAAATCGATTAGTTAGCCGATTATTAAGTTCGATTAATCGGTTAATCGGATAAACTATAAAATAAAAGTTTACAAAATGGCTCCAGTGATGGACTACTAGTTTGTATTGAGGTTGTAGTCCATCACAGGAGCAAGCTTGGACCGGTGGAAGAAAAAAAAAAAAAAAGATAGTGTGGTGTGCAATATAGTGAAATGGAAAGTGTAAAATTATACAGCAATGAATGCAGAATGGCACCGGCTATAGAGGACTACAAAACCCAGCAAAAGCACATTATACAGCGCAATGCAGAATACCGCCAGCTATAGAGGAATACAACAAATCCCAGCAATAGTACATAATAGCTGGCGGCATTCTGCATTGCGCTGTATAATGTACTATTGCTGGGTTTTGTAGTCCTCTATAGCTGGTGGTATTTAGCATTGTACCACTGTATAATGTACTATTGCTGGGATTTGTTGTACTCTTCTACAGCTGGTGGTATTCTGCATTGCGCTGTATAATGTATTATTGCTGGGACTTGTAGTCCACTATACAGCGTAATGCAGAATATCACCAGCTATAGAGGAGTACAACAAATCCCAGCAATACATTATAGAGCACCATGTGTGGGAAAGTGCAGTCTTCCAGCAACGTGCTTCTGAGATCGGACCTGTCTATCAGCAGCTGTCATCCCCCCACACCTGCTCCTCCTTACTACATCTCCTTCGTCCCTGTGCCGATCGTGGATGGGCAGGAAATGTGAGGCGGGGAGGAGGTGCGGCGTGTGGATGCGAGCGAGTCTGGCAGCGGCGAGCGTGAGGTGGGGAGGAGGTGCGGCGCACAGCGTGTGGAGCCGTGAACAGGGCCAACTGATCGGAAGGCGATTAATCGATTATTGAAAAAGTTGACAACTTTTTCAATAATCGATTATAATCAATTATGTCGATTAGTTGTTGCAGCCCTAATACTAGGCCATGCATACCTAAGGCTAAACTTGACAGGTTAATTTACTCAATACCAGTGCCAACAATTGATCAGACAGTTAACCTCAGCCATGGCCATACAAAGATTGCATTTACTACCCTACCTGTTCAATATTCATGAGTAATTATCTATGACTGGTATATTCAAGCTGAATATTGGCAAAATAGGCATAACGTAACATAATCTACTACTAATAAGTCTGTGCTTTGGCTCCTTTGAACCAATAGTTCCAACCTGTAGCCTCTAAACCAGATGTGGCAGTTAGCTTCCCAAGTTAAATATAATTAACATTCTTTAAAATAACAACTGTATTAGACTTCACCTTTCCCATACCCAATGTGTCTTACCATCATGTTTTAAAGATAACTGAATACTGAGTGGAAAAGGTTTAAAGCCCTTTGCCTTACAACTTTTTGTTTTACATTACTTCCATTATTATTATTCAAAAGAGATGAATGGTTCTGTAACAGCCCTAATTAAATGCAGTAAGCTAGCTTCCACTGAAGCATAATTAAAACGGTATGTAGTCTTGAAGTTGACATTTCTGCTGCATTGCATATTTAAATAGCATATCACTAGGATCACATTGACCCTACTGAATGCAATGAAAGCTGATGGTACTGTCTAGAAAGCCAAGAGGAAAAGACATTGGTTGTCCTATTGCACCATCTAGTGTTAAAAGGGGGATACAAAACAAATTCTAAACCATAAGCTTACATGTCCTCAGGCTGCGGAAGAATGCACAGAGCAGAGAGAAGCTTCAAAGCGTCAATCATCATGGCAGGGACTGAGGGGTCCACAGCTCTTGCCAGAAGCCTGATCCCATCATCTGTCCCCAGCACGGTCTTTATTCCAAACTATAAATGGAAATGAGAAAAAGCTATTATGAAACACCAATATACTACACAGGACAATATATACCAATGGGTCGATTCACTAGTACACACGGCATACAGTATTTAAATAAAAATGTGGTAATTTACAAAAGTGTAATATTGCATTATTTCAAGTCACCAAAAGGTTTTATTATAAGGTTCACTGGCTTTACCACATCCATGTTATATTATAGACATATGGTATGTGGTATTTTGAACAAAACACTGTTTGCAAAGTTTATCACAAGGATTTTGCCTGCTGAAATACTGCTACCATCCGACTGGCAATTGTGGAGTTCAATGAAAGCGTGTTCTGTTAAGAACAACACATACATTCACTCCAGCTGGACATAAACAAAATCATAGACTAAAATAGATTAACCAGAAGGCTTTCAGTGGTTAAATAACTGTCATGTGAAAAAATAGCTATTATACACCTATGTGACATTCATGAATAATAATTAAATTGATGCAAAAATAGCAATGAGATAAAACAACAAGCACAGTTCAAGTAGCTCATCCAGCTTAAAGGAAAATTATGGGGCGAGTGAAAAACTCCCCATCATTTAAGCCGACCTATGACACTGAAGCTGTCACAGGTCGGCACTATTGATCGGGAATGCAAAACTACTGATCGCCGAGTTCCTGCAGAGTGGCGACTGACAGTCACAGCTCCCCGCAGGGATTCCTGCCTCCCCTCTCCAATTCTCCAGCGCCGACTGAAGGGATGGATGGGGGAGGGGGCGGGCACAGCTGGCTCTGGCACTAGATAGGCTGAGCCCTGTCACTCAGCCAGCAGGGTGGATCTCGACAGTATTGTTGGCATCCGTCCCGGCTGCGGTGCGGCGCTCTCAGCATATAGCAGGCAATAGCCCGCTATATACTGAGTTTTGGGTCGCTGGAGGACATTAGTATATATCTTCCTGTAAACCCTGAAGAGAACTATAGCCAAAAAGGGTTGGCCCATAGTTCTCTTTTAATGACATGGACTTGACTATGTAAATCACCCCAAGTTATCTTATTATGCTTCTGTGTGAAGAACTTGATTGCCAATATTATTGTTACAGTTCTAAGATGTAATACTTCGCCATCTACTTCTTAAAGTGCTATGCGTGCCCTGCTGTTCTTCACCTGTTCAGAAACTAGTTTAACCATGCTTTAGCAGACAGTGGCTGGAGGACTATGATGGGGTTTATAGTTCATTGGTAGCAGATGTGCAGGAGGGTATATCTGATCTAATCTTTACATATAAATATCTAATTTACATAACTTTGTAAAATCACACACGGTTATCACTAACAGTTTGTGATTTTTGCTTCAGGTGCATAGTACCCTTTACCTAAAATACAGTGGTCCATAAACTGTTCATTACACAGATTACTCTATACTACCATTCTCTACATACAGTACAGGTGAAACTCGAATAATTAGAATATCGTGCAAAAGTAATTGCAGTAAGTGCTGCAAAAGGGGCCCAAACCAAGTACTGAGTACATATACATGCTTGTACTTTTCAGAGGTCCGATATTGTTCGATGTACAATCCTTGTTTTATTGATTGCATGCAATAATCTACTTTTTTGAGATCGTGGATTTGGGGTTCTTGGGGTTTTCATGAGCTGTAAGCCATAATCATCACAATTATGACAAATCACGGCTTGAATTATCTTGCTTTGCATGTAATGAGTCTATCTCATATATTAGTTTCACCTTTTAAGTTGCATTAGTGAAATAAATGAACTTTGCACGATATTCTAATTATTCGAGTTTCACCTGTATATCTGCCTGCTGCTTCCAAAAATGTCACCATAATATCCATTCTTAGTTAAGGGCACATAAAAATACAACTGTATATTCAACATATTTCTGACAGAAATCATTCAGATAATTCATCTGAACTAATCGCACCACATGATATGAAGTCCATTTTCATTGTTTTGTATATCCTTAAAACATATTCTACATCCACAAGCATAGTTCATGAGAGAAAACCACTACAGAGGAGTCCTACCTCAATTCAAAAAGAGACCTCAGACTTGACTGGTCTTCTTCCTTTTATTTTTGATGCATACTATTAATTAGGGCCCAGGCATGTCAAAATAGAGTGTAGAAAAAGCAGAGGCAGCAGTTCTCTTTAGAGAAAGTCTCATGTTATATTTATCAGTAGATCCAGACATGCATGCAGCTCAACTTTTGCCTCCCCAACCCTACTATTGGTCCTTCAAAAGGATGGGTGCATCTTTGATGCAATGAGAAGCTCTGGGGGTGGAGGAGGCAGGACCAGGCTAGACCTTTACAGGAAAAAACAACATTGGCATATATATGCAGCCATCTCTATCTCTGGATCTACTGACTGTATTGATACGTGTTAAAGATAAGCATTCGGTCAGTCTGAAAGGTACAGGATTGTAACTGGCCATACACTTTTTCTCACTGAGGAGCTAATAAGAAATAAAAACAATTGATTCCCAATCCTTGTTAAACAGCTAGGATGGAGGAATCCCCTCTCCCTGCAGAGCTAATGCACTCTGACTGGGCGGGTGTGCTAATGCCAGAATACCAAAAACAGCTCAATTACTGTTCGTTCGGCAAAGATTGTTTTGGAAAGGTAACTTGGACAAAAGTCCATTGAAAAATTGACCCCAACGGTGACACATGCCGCTTTAATTTTGGCTGTATCATCAGCTTAAGTTCAAGTGCCTTCATATAACTATTTAAAGAGGAACTTTACCCATATCTTTGAAATGACAACAAAGACATCTCTGGAAATGTCTAGTAATGAGAATCTACAAACCAATACTTATAAATAATTGCCGGCTTTGTATTACTTGCATACCGTATTCTTTTCTTTCCCAGTCTTCTGACAGTGGCCATTTTTATTAAGGCCAGGTTACTAGATCTCCTTTTACTTCCATGTGACTAGGACATGTGGCCATGCGCATCATCTCATCCTTTCCCTGAGATTGCGGCAAGGCATTGCCACAATGTGCGATAACCCACATGCAGTGAGCTCTATCCATTTTGCCTACTCTAAAACAGTGCAAGGTGTGCTCTAATCACTTACACAACATTGTTCTGTGGGCTGCCTTAGAATCCAAAATTTAAAAGTATTAGGTAGATGACAACTTCTGACAATTAACAGCTAGTCAACAAATCAAACTGTACGACAGAAAGTAAATGTGATACATGGTGCCTTTAATCATACTTACATTATTGTTCATGAAAGCCTTTAAACATCTGATGATTTCATGCTCACTTTTAGAGTCACGAGGCCTATAATGAGTAATAAAACAAAGGTTACAGCCAATTCTAATTTTAATAAGAAAATCCCTGAACAAAACTGAGCAGCTAAATTAAGTTCAGAGCCGATTTCTTGTTGCAAAGTAAACTCAAGATATTTGTTTAGAGTTTTAGCAATTAACAGTTCACATATAAAGCAGACCTGAGGACATATTTTTATAGTAAAATGTAAAAGCACAAGGGATTAATTAAAGGTTATAAACGCTGGGCTAAACAATCTGAAAAGAAATTCAAGTCAGTCATTCTTAAAAGGAGAAATATTGGGAGAATAAAATGTACTCAATACTTCCCAATACTTACAGCCGGCGTGTAACACTGCAGCTGTCACGCATTAGCTCTATAGATTGAAAGCTGAGTGATCACAAACCGTTGATCGCTCAGCTTACCGTCTTCTCCCTGCAGACTGGCAGTCACCGCTCCCCACAGGGATTCCCTCCACTCCTCTCTGAAGGTATTGTTAGTATTCTTCCCAGCCGCAGTGTGGCTCTGCACTGTCAGCATATAGTGGGTAGTAGCCCACTATATACAGACTGCGGGTCACAGGAATACATTAGTAAATGTCCTCCTGTGACTCAAAAGAAAAGAACTAAAGCAAAAAAAAATCATTTAAAGTGTATTTCCACTCTTGCAGCCAAATTAGGACAGTACCTTCTTTATTTGTTAAATGTTCCCCTTCACATAGCATAACTTAAAAAAAAATTATTACAAGTTCCTGCCTCTATTTTTCAGTGCTCTTTGCCAGCTTAAAAATTGTACCTAGTTTCCCCCCTATGTATTGTTAAGTAGGGGGATGGATGGGGCTGTGGGAAGTTATGTTTTCCTGCATTGTACTGCAAAATTGTACCGCAAAAGTGGACATAAACTTTAAACTCTCCTGAATACTAGTTAGCATTATTAGTATTAGTGTTAACATTATGACATTCGGACAGTGTGGAGATCAGGTGCTGATTTCTAGTGCTGGGTAGTACATGAAAGCCAACCTCTTCATTCGTTTCTGTAGGACCTTTGTCATTACTGTCCTGCAGTTTCTCCCAACACCAGGTGCAATTGTGTTCCCTACATTTCACCAACACCTCTTCCAGAAAAAGGCTGCAAATCAATGTTTAAAATAAAAGGAACCCAGTTTTTTGTTTAGTTTTAGGCCAGGGGGAGGCAACCTCGGAACTCGGCAACACCTGATTTGCATACTTGTTTTGAGTCAGTGGCTCAGAGAACATTGAAGCCAGAGGATGATTAGGATATCCACATAATATGGTGGATGTGGAAATTGTACAATCAAGTTTACCGACCTAGCTGTTTGATATATAAGAAAATAACAATCAAGTCGGGAGATTGACCTTACATTGTCAATAGCCCCATCAACTAATTTTACTTTACAGCGACTGGGTTGATTAGCAGTTAGAGGACTGTAGCACATGAGAGCTTGAAGCCATCCAGATGCCCATACTTACACCAACTGATCTTCTTGTAGTCTTTTCAGGATCTCCAATAGACACGAAAGACCTTCTGCACCAAAATTCTGTACCCAGCTAGGAGGAAAAAAGTAAAAAGTTAAATAGATAAATCAGCACTATTAATTAGGTCACAACATTAGTTAGGGTTAGAGGAATGCCTAAGTGGTGACATGTTTACCAAAATGAATATGACAACACTGGAAAAAAAAAATTTTGTTTTGCGGTCTGTGCCCCTGTTCAGAAGATTTCACCTCACTTTCTGTCCCTGTGACAATTGGATTTTAAAGATTTTGGGTTGTCGTAGAAACAAGGATTGATGATAAAGCTTCACTGGAGACACCTTTTTCCCATGATAACTCTTACAGGAGTGAATTTCCCTTCCTAGGGGTAGATTTCCTCTCACTTCCTGTTGCCTCAAGGGCAGGAAGTGAGATTAAATCTTTCTAATGAGGATACAGACAGCAATTAAAACCTCAGTGGCTCCAATCCCACACCACACTAAAAAAACAAAAAACATTTGCATGGAGTTCTACTTTAAATGCAACTTGGACAGATGTTTGTACAACTTCTTGTAATGTATAGTACCAGACTCTGAAGAGGAGGCATGCACTCCTCGTTTGCACATCTAACAACTTCCTGTAATGTACAGGAGGGTAAAGTACTACGAAAGTCAGCACAAGCACAGTAGCCTTACAACTTGGACCTCCGTTTGTAAGAACGAGTCGTACGTAACTCGGATGTTCGTAACTGGGGGATTGCCTGTATATGAAAATGTAAGCATATTAGCGATATCTTTAAATTAAATCTTTCCTGACCAAAATATGGAGGATGGCACTGCACATGTCTCATGCGGCAAATGCTGGCTGCTGACAGCTGTGCTGTTTTCCTGGCTTCAAATGTTTGCATCACTGACCAAGGGCAAAGATGGAGATTCTGAACTCTTACTTTACTCTTTGACTTTCTATCTGCACAGTTGTTGCTGGTCAGTGACTCAGAAGGTATAGAAGCCAGTGGTCATAATAAAAGCCAGGAAACTAACATTTTTAAAGGTCAGCAATAGCCGCACCCAAGTTTATCTCAGGAAAGGTTTACCTAAAAGGGTCAAGTGATATGATATGATATTTCAGACTCTGTATCAACTAGATTGTCATGGACACTAGTGGCAAGGTCTGTGTGCTCAAATACCCAGTTCTAGGCCTGGTCCTAGCCATTAGGGCGATTACATATTTCTTGTGTAAAGTAAATAGGTGAAAAGACCAGCAGCAAAAGTGAGACCCTAGTAATGGCTGGGACAAGAGGCAGAACTGATAATATAGGTAATGAGATCTCATAACAATGTCCTATAAAATACAACCTACCCACTTTCTTAGGAACGCTTTAAAAAGTTAGCTCTAACTCCATTTTCACTGTGAGTGTAAATTTTTAATATTCACTTCAAATAAAGAGTGTTGTGCTAAGGCAAGTTTCTCTCTTTTCTTCACTTATGCCAAGGTGTTTCACGGTATTGGGCACTGCGCTGTTTAATTAGATGACGGGAACATTCCTATGAGCTGAGGCGGACAGCTGAGGTTTGGGAGGCTGCAGGTGTCCAACCTGATCTCATAACTTTTTAAAGAAGAGGCCCTGTGTACAATGACAGTGAGGCAGATTCAATAAAGCAGCGGTGACACTTCTATAGTGGTATGTCCATATGACAAAGTCCGGCATCAAATTCATGAAAGCCTTGAGACAGTCTTGTTATCGTTTCCAACACGTGTGACAAATTCAGCTCGTTTTTAAATGCTGTGGCTGTCACACAATGCCACCATATCATTAATAAGGTGCTAAAGACCTATTTCATATAGGAGTAAGTAGGTTTGGGATTGTTCTCTTAAGTGACAACAGATTCATGTACACCTTACCGACATGTACACGAATCTCTCCCAAGATGTGCCATTTGTCACAAGGATTCTAGACACATCTCTAATGAGCGTCTATGACAATCTTTATGAATTCCCTGGCCTGCTTCACAAAATTAACACCTACCTATGCGGATTTAATTTGAGAAATCTAAGAAATTCAACATCTTCATTCCACCACTGCTTACCTGACAGGATTGTTATTGAGGGACACTCTCAGAGATTCTAAACAGGCCAGAAGATTTGCATCACCAAGTCCAGATTTCAACTCCTGAATATACATTTGTGCTGACCTCGTGCTTTCCTTCTTATTCATTCCCTGTGATACAAGACATAAACAAGGTGTATAAGTCTGCTGCAATGCACAGAAAAGGTGATGTAGGATCGCACATCCTTTGTAGGATTTGCATTTACAATCCACATATTACAGATATTATTCACAACTGTAATCTAAACATAAAGAAAGGACACACTTAGGTCTTATACATAGTAAACATACTGTCGCACCAACAGAAAGAACAACAAGCCAAGTCAGTATCTAACTACCTGGGATAAAAGTGGAGGAATATTGAGCGTGAAGAAAGCCATTTTGACTGATTGGTTGTCCCCCCACCCCGCACTCCTTCAGTACATTCAGCTCTGCAATTCATAGACTCATGCTACTAGACAAACTGGATACGTAATTTAATCTGCAATGCACTTGGTCCCGATATTTGACATCTGAACTTCCTACACATCAATTATGAGACATTATGTCCACCTTCCAATACTCCCTATGGTTCCTCAAAGCCAAACTTGACGCCACCCTTGGTGCGCTAGACATCCTCTGGCATTCCCTAAACCCATCAACAACATTGCGATTATCAGATCCCCCTCCACCCATCCAGCGATTCCTCCCAAGTGTACACTCTTATGTGTGTTCCGTGGTCTTCTACAGTGCCAATGCTTATTTCTCGCTTATTTCTGATGTTTCATGATTCTGTTTCTCTAGGAGTTATACACCACTATAATTGTATAATTGTTCTTATGACTCCTGTTTGAGAATCCATAGTAAAGGTCTGACGTGCATTTTCTGGAATGTGACTAAAAGGAATAAGTGATTTCTGCATTGGAACCATCATCTTTATCGCTGGCGTTTAGATAAAGATCTACAGAACCGATAGGCGTATCTTCTCTTAAGCTGATTCGGTACGTGTCTTGGCTGAATATTGGATAGTTATCATTAACATCCTGTACCTCAATTTTAATAACAGCAGTTCCAGTTCTCTTAGGTTGGCCCCCATCAGATGCCATTAATATTAAGGTATATTAATCATGTTTTTCACGATCTAAAGGTTGTTCCAAAATGAGTTCTGGATGTTTTGTCCCTTCACGGTCAATTTTTTCCCCCAAGGTAAAGTGTGGATTCGGGTTAAGGGTATAACTCTGTAATTAATTGATACCTAGATCTGGATCAATCGCATTTCCCAGAACAAAACGTGCTCCTGCAGAAGCCGAGTGACTTTCAGGTGGATCAATAGGTATTTTCTGTACTTGCTGAGCCTTTAAAGATATATTATTTTCTGCATTCGCAGGTTTTCCTGTGTTAAGTAGCATCCATAGAAATGTGAACTGTAATACAAGGTCTGTATTTCCAGTGGAAGAGACCAATCACTGCTGCCTGCCTTGTATGAGCAGGGTGACCAGTCTCTCTACTGTCACATCACCACTATCTCCATAGCCGAAGATCAGGAGTGGGAACTAGTGCGCTGTATTCGGTAACTCTCCAGCCAGCACCAACATATATATATCCTCCACAGCAGCAAATCTGTTAAAATGAATGGCTACCGCACTTCTTGTCCGTAGATACTTCCTTCAGGCTCCAGTGGGTGTAGGGTCTTTTGAGCCTCCGTGAAGACTTCACGGGGCTAAGAAAAAGAACAACATAATGCTGGAACAAGGGAACAAGTGAACACATTGCAGGGGGACAGAGAAGTTAAAGGTAAATAATACTCACAGCTTTGGACGTATGTAGATACTGGGATACCATCTCTCTTTTTATCATCATGTCCTTTGCTCGTAAAGGCTGTTGCTTTTCCTCATTAAGGTTCATGTCATTCTACAATTGGGAACAGAAAAAACACTAAGAAATCACGAGAAGTATCTGAACATTGTAAAGTATTTTCACGGTTTCCGGGTAAGATTTTGTCCTTGTCCTATTGTGCCAATGTAGAATCTTCCAGGACTTCTTCTGCAACCAAACATGGGTGGAATTTGAGTTATGCTTGGGATCATTGTCCTTTTAGAAGGTCCAATGATGCCCAAGCTTCAGCTTCCTCCCACACGGCATGATGTTTTCCCCTAGGATTTCCATATAAAAGTGGACCCTCACCATCCTAATAAACTATAGCTCTACAATTCCATTGGACAAGCCTTTATTTGCTGGAAATACATACAAGGGATTGTTGGTACAGAATTTGAAGTGGATATAAAGCTGTTTTTTTTTTATCTTTTATACCCAGGTTGCAGCAACCAGGCAACATTAATGGGGAGATTTTCCCTCACTTCCTGTCCTGGAGACAATGTCACCAAGACAGGGAGGACAAAAAATTTCCAAGAGGGACACAAATGGCAATTAAAACAATCTCTAGTTTTAAGCAGAGTAGGGGAACACTAGAACTCCCATTAGCTCATTACTGTTGTCTGTATCTCTGTTGTAGCTTTTCGCTCACTTCTTGTCTATGAATACATTAATTTGTCAATGCCTGACAACATTGATTCCAGGCCAAATCTCTAAAACAAGGCCTCCGATAGCAATAAAATGAGAAAGGTGCTTACACCCACTCCACTCAAAATTGGCTGGCTGGGGTTACATCTTAAGAGTGGTATCAGACAAGGATTTAAAAATGGTAAATGTATTTTTTCACTTAGAAATCAGCATGTACAGCTTATGGCTGGTAGCAGCACCAAAAAATGAGTTAGATAAGGCAAGCATTTCCTGAAATAAATGGTTATGGAAAATGTATCATGCCTGTGGTGTTAAAACCAAACAAAAATAAATAAAACAATCTCTATAAAAGTGAACTGCCTATCAAGCAATCATAGGTCTTGATTTATTTTACCAGAGAAAAAGAAATATGAAACCCGACTGGTTGCCATGAGCAAGCTCACCACTTCTGTGTAGAATTTTATATACAGGCCCCAAAAGATGCTAAACAGGAAAGGTAACCCAAGTCACTGGTTGGAGATCACAGCTTTACAATACTGGGCCAACTGTCCAATAACACTGACATTTTTGTGAGGTACAGCAAGTGTATTGCAGGAGTGCTGGAACACTTGATTGGTTGAGGAGGGTCAACAAGGGTATCCCAGGGACTACCAGAAATGTTTGTAGAGAACTAGAAAAATGAGAGTGCCATATGGATTAATTCAGTTGACAATGGGGCTTTAATTAATCGCAATGTAAAGGTAAAATTCCAACATTTTTGGGGGGCTCACAGATCCCTCTTCATCGGGGCTTTGTATGTTGGCAATGATGCAAGATAATTCTGGACAGGTGATTATGGGAAATGGTAATTATGTAATCCCAGAATGGGTTGCCTGTCAGCTGAATTTTGTGAGGTGAGCAGCCATCAATTTTGGTAAGCCCCACAGGAAATTTTTTACAGTGCCACCTCCAAGATCATAGACCATCATAAGCTCACAGTTTCATAAAGCTTGCTTATCAAACAGCATTATATTTAAAATGCTTTTCTTTGTTTCATCAGGGCTACAGTATATGAATTACATAAGAAAGAAATGCAATAAGGTAATAGGTAGGTAGCATCTATCAGAAACCATTACGTTTTTGCCATCCTAGGACTTGCCAAAAACTTGGACTAGTGTGAAAAACCCTTTTTATAAGCCTTTTCTTTATTGCACTTGGCTAAAGCAGGTAAATAATAGTGTCATGAGCTTTTGTCTTTACAACCAGAGCAGTAGTCAGAGTACAGAATGGCCCTTATGTGGGTGTAAAACCTACCAGCATCTGTTCAAACAACTCCAGTACAGTTTCATCACCGAGTTCCTGCAACGTCTGCAGTGGATTGTCAGTGTAGTTGGCAGAATACCTATGTGACACAGTCGGCTTTTCCTTCTCCTTCTTAATTCTTATACTTGTAAACCTTTCGAGCTGCAAGAGAAAAAGGGAGATACTCTTTATTAACAATCACTTACTGCTTACCTGTACAATAGCTAAAATGATAAATCTTGTATCAGGTAATCTGCCACTTAATAATTATTATCGCTATGTTCTGGATTTGTTTTCTGCTTAGGCAACTGTTCTAAAGAGTTAATCTTGCAGACATATAAACACATCTGGAAAAAACATTTCCAGTTCTGTTTTTCAAAGAGAACAAAGTGACTATTCAAGAGCTAAAAATGATACATTCAAAATATTACATTTTAAGGAAAGAATGCACACACAAAAAAAAGTAAAACCTTAAACCAAAAACAGTACGGCAAAGTAGCAGGTTTACTGGTTCAATGTCCCATTCCCCAGCAGCATATACTCACCTTCCTTTTGATACCCGACGCTCCATTCATTCTTTGGGAGCAAGAAAGCACTGTGTAAGCTTCAGGATGTTCAATTCAGAAGTTAGATAAGGCTGAGGACTCTATACCCACCTCCATGTGACAGATCTTGGCCAATCACCAAGCAGCAGCACTGTCACATGTGTGGGAGTAGAGTGAGCCACGTGCTTTTCAACAACAACACAGACAAATGCAAAAATATTTTTAATGTTGTCTGTTTTCCAGTTGACGATTTTTCCGTCATTTCCGGTCATTGCCACAAACCAACTTTCTCTGTGTTTTTAGAACAATAAAGTTCATAGTTAGAAAAAAAACTATGGGTTGGCTAACATTTCCAGCAAGAGTGACTGCTGGGTACATCACTGTGACCAGACTGTGGCAGTCATATCTGACAGAAGCCAAGGATATCTGATAATATTGGGATCTCCATGCATGAGCCAAATACCCATAAATACTCTCTATTAGATAGTTAGCAGAACTCCCAATTTAATGAGTTGTCACGTGAATAGGCATCTCCACTGGGTGATTTTCCTTTATCTTTTGCTTCAAAGACAATTCAAAAATGTTGAATTTCCTGTGGACAAGGATCACCGAGCAAATAGAGGGTGAATCTGGGTTGCTAAAGAGGCAGACTGTGGAACGGTCATTGTGAAAGAAATCCAAAGCTTGTTCCAGGTCAGGACTCGACAGTGAAGCTAGGATCAAGATGACAATTCATCAGTGACACTTTCCATATTTTTATCATAAAAGGTTTATCTCAACTTTCACAGAATGTGTACGCCACCCTAAAAAAAAAAACAAAAGAAACAAGCAACTGGAAGAGAGATTGTCATATATGACCCTGCAAAGAACATACAGCCTAGTTTGTGCCTTAGACCCTTGGTTCTCAACTGGTGGGTCGTGACCCTGTGTTCAGTGGGTCGCCGCTTGCCTTCCACTTTTCTAGGCGAGATGCTCCTCAGCCTCCCCCTAGTGAAGCACTGTCAGTTCTCGCGCCGAGCAGCCATTCAAAATATGCTGCCCAAGTGTCAGCTTGAGGTGGAGTGGGCTGGGGTTATGGCCGTGAGGGAGCTCCATTCATACGTGCATTCTGTACAGCACCCTTGCGTGTCCTGTAGAGGTGCCTGAACCAGAGTGATGTCACATTCTGGCTCCTGGCACCTCTACAGGTGATGCACATACAGTATGGATGGCGCTCCGTCAAAGAACATTCTGGTGTGGGAGTGCATTGCCATTAATTTGAATGGCCTCCCAAATGCATCTCCCATCCACAGTTCTATCGCCCACATCGGAACGCGAGGTACCACATGCCGTGCATTCCATTGCAGTTCAACTTGGGTCGCAACTTAATGACCAAGGACAAATGTGGGTCCTGTGGTTACACCGGTTGAGAACCACTGCCTTAAACAACCAAAACAGTTGTATAATGACTGTATGATTCAGATAAATATGCATGGAATTTCCTCCTGTGAATATGCATTTTTGGCTTTGCAATATCAACCACTTTTGCTTTATGATGCTCACAGATAAGGAAATCATATGAAAAAAAAAGTCATAATAGACGTTATTTGCTCTTAATACCCTTTCATTTGGATCATGACAGACTATCATAGTGGAGAGATGATCCTTCCACTGTGGGATAGAAGTGATAAAACTAGTCTGATTGGGTTAGAATCATGGATGATGAGCCATGTGCCACTAAGATGGGGATATATCAGTTAGTTGAGGACTCTATGTGACACTAGAGCAACATGGTAGCTATGTGGTCAGCACTCTTGAACGACATTGCTTGGGTCCTAGTTTTAAAGCCCGACGTTGACGTTATTTGCATGGACTGTTTATGCTCTCTATATTACTGAATGGTATTTCCTCTAGGACAGTGGTTCTCAACCTGTGGGTCGGGACGCAAAAGTGGGTCGCAACCCACAGTTGAGGGGGTCCCCACGTGCCTTGTGCTGCTCTATGCAAGAGGCTCCTCAGCCTCCTCCTGGGGTGGCAGTGGCAGTTCTCCTAGGTGGCGCTGCAGCGGCCGGAGAGGATCAGAGAGAGGGGAGCAGGCAGGAGTTAGGGGAGGTGAATGCTCGATCACTATAGAGCCCACAACTAGGCACTACAGAGCCTGCACTGGACGCCACCAGAGAGTCCCACTAGCCACCTGAGAGCCCACACAGATACTAGTATTGGTGCACCCCTACATTTTACGGTTGGGGGGTCACCACAACTTGACAAATGTGACCAAGGGGTCCCAGCCCTAGAAAGGTTGAGAACCACTGCTCTAGGAGCTCAAGTTTCAGACATTTACTAGTGGGTATTTCTGCTTCATAACTGGCTCCAGTATGTGTGCATCTGCATGACGGTTAAACGCCAGACATCTTCAGGGGCAAAACTCATGTGCATGTACTGTGTTACATTTTGCAGAATCTTGACAGCTCTATATTAATGACTACAACAAACAACTTAAATATCATCTTAATAAAATCACTGATAATAGCCACTGGGGTCTTTGATATGGAAAGTGCCGTAAAAACAAAGAACTGGCTCATCTTTAATAATGATCTGTTTTTGGAAAATGAACTGCGATATATGGAGGTACATCAATCAAAACGTAGTCTACTTACAGAGCAGTTAGCAGATAACTACCTCAAATTGAACGTGCAGTTAGGAAAGAACATGACTGGGTTATATTTTATCTGGCAAGACACTAAAAGAAAAACGATTCTCATAACTAGTATTGGTTATTAAAGTGTTTAAATGTAATATTCTATAATGACAGATATTTGTGTCCTAATGTATAATAATACTGACAGTCTGTTCAAGATCACTGAAAAACACAGAAGTCAGAACTGGGAAGGACTCTCCTCTGCTAATTGATAGCAAGCAGTGGGCGGGTGCAATAGCCAGCCTGCTATTGGCTATTGCATTTTAAAATATCCAATAGCAAGCTGGGTATGGCTCCCAGCCTGTAGCTGCAGAGGAGGCACGGGAGCGTGGGCAGAGGCGGAACGGGGCAGGGCAGAGGAGGAACAGAACGGGCCGGGGAAGAGGAGACATGGGGCGGCAGTGCAGGTATGGAGGGTAGTGTGGGGAATGCAATTACAGCAGTCTCTCCTGCCGTCTGGCGACGGCTTCTGTGGTCTGCCGCTGCAGGCGGGAAGAGTAGCAGGGCTTGAAAGGGACACAGACTGTTGCAGCCTGCACCAGCGGGGAGGAGAACGGAGAAGCAGAGCAGCGGCAACTAATCGCAAATCGGCTAATAGATGAGAATCGTTCCCACGTTTCTCATTATCGATTATAATCGATTTCATCTTTTAGTTGTTGCAGCCCTACTTCAGTTCACTAATATTCTTGACTTTGTGTGCTGCAACCACGTTCTTCAAATCCTTCCAGAGATTTTCTATGGTGCTCAAGGCAGGTGACTGTGATGGCCACTATAGAATCTTCTAGGACTTCTAATGCAACCAAGCCTTGGTGGAATTTGAGGTAAGCTTGGGATCATTGTCCTGTTGGAAGGCCCACTGATGTCCAAGCTTTAGCTTCCTCCCAGACGGCATGATGTTTTGTCCTGGATTTCCTGATACTTCAATGAATCCATCCTGCCTTCCACACACTGCAGCTTTCTAGTGCCAAAAGGGGGCAAAGCAGCCCTAGAGCATCACCGAGCCACCACCATGCTTAATCATCGTTCTTCTTCCTCCAGACATACCACTGATCCATAGGGCCAAAAAGTTCCAGTTTTGTTTCATCGCTCCACAGAACAGAAACCCAACATTTCTATGGCTTATTTGCATGGTTTTGAGCATACTGGAGCTGACTTTTCTAGTGATTTTGGGTCAATAGTGGTGTAGGTTCTGTTGCTAGGGATGTCCCGATACCGATGCTAGCATCGGAATCGGGCCCGATACAGGGCATTTTGACAAGTACTTGTACATGTCAAAATGCCCCGAAGCCTAGCGCTGAAGCTTGTGCTAGGTTGTTTTTTTTTCTTCTTACTTACCTCGCCGAGCGTCGAGTCACTGCTGCTCCGGAACGCCAACATCCCTACCTGTTGCCATCAAGTATTTTGCAGTCACACATGGGTTTTTCTCAACCTGCCTTGCAGAAATCTGGTTGCAGCAAATTATGGCTTCCTTTTTCCGCCTCATTCAGGTAGCGTAACCACTGTTGCTTTAACTTTGAACTAGCGAACTGTGCTTTCAATAGTGTCTCTACTATTTAGTGTCTTCACTATCCTTTTGTAAAAACTGTTCCTTGTTTGTGAAGGGCGATGATCTTTTAACATTTTTGACCATTCTTTTGGCTTAGTCATATTTCTAACGTGCAGTAAAACATAAAACACTAACAACCTCCTACCCAGTTCAGGTATTTCATGTGTTTTGCAACTAATGAAGACCTTGATTAGTTGCATCAGGTGTGCTTAAAAGGAGAATTATGAGGCGAGTGATTTTCCCTCAGCCTCATAATCTGAGCCGACCTGTGACAATGAAACTGTCACAGGTCGGCTCAGTAGATCGGGAAGTGAGCGAACACATACCGTTGCCTGCTCACTTCTCGATCTATCCCTGCAGAGAGCCGTGACTGTCACTCACGGCTCCCTGCGGGGATTCCCCTCCTCCCCTGTCTGATTCTCCAGCGTTGACTTGCGGAAACGGATGGGGGAGGTGGCAGGTACAGCTAGCTCTGCCTCTAGATATGCAGAACCAGCTGTCACTCAGGCAGCTGGGTGGATCCAGACAGTATTGTCGGGATCCGTTCCGGCTGCGACGTCTCAGTATACCGTGAGCTGTGGCTCGCGGTATACTGAGCTTTGGGTCACGGGAGTACGCTAGTTTGTGTTCTCCCGTGACCCTTAGGAGAACTATGGGGAAAAGTCCTGACCCCATATTTCTCCTTTAAGACAAGACCTGTTTTGCAGATGTGTGCTCTTGTGAGGGATTCTATTCAGGGGGTTGAATCATTTTGAGACTGCATAAGACATTAAAAGTTGTGTTTGGGGAAACCACTTGAAACATTCATTGTGATGGCCTATTTCAATAGTTTTTGTTTGATTTGCTCATTGCAAACAGCTGAAAAAGTCTGTACATTTTGCCAAAAAACCTGATTTGCAATGGATGTGAGCTGATCACGTCCTGTGCTCTCTCTCCGACTGTGCTGATTGTTATCAATTAAATTATGCTCTGAGGACTACAGAACCCCACCCCTCTATGTTATGGACAAAAGGAGAGGGCAGGGTTACATAGATTGTGTTTCTGTTGTCGTAATACAAAAAGATGTGCTGTCATCCTAGGACAGTAGTGTAAAGGTGTCCATACACCTTACGATTATCGTACAAAACTTTTCGTCCGTTGATCGAACCGTCTGACGATTTTCGTACGACGGCCCCATCCTGCCCCAATTATTGCAAGGTTCAATCAGCGGTAGTTTTAAAAAAAACCACCTGGACGACTTGCGGTAATTGACCGCAATTATTTTCGTTTGTGCAGTGTTAATCGTACGACTTTTGACGGACGGAAACGCCACCAACCAACATCGTACGATCGACCAAAGTTTTCAAACATGCTTGACCGTCAAAAGTCGTACGATTGTACAATACTATTGGTTGGGCACTCTATTCACATGTTACGATTGTCGTACGAAAAGGCGATCGCATACGATTATCGTACGATAATCGTAAGGTGCATGGGCACCTTTAAGCTAGCCATACATGTGGGCTGATCAAGAGAGATCACTCAATTTCCCCATCCCCGTTTAAACAGCATAGATGTAAGAATCTTCTCTGCCAGCTATTATCTTCTGACACCCGGCATCTGCGGTTGTCAGAATACCAGAACAATGACTGCATCTGTCTGGCTGAGGTGTAGTTGGCAGGTGGCTGACAACTTTTGGCATAGATCCTTCAATTTTTCAATCAAAGTTTGTGGAGCCGGGTGGTGTCAGCAGCTTGATTTTTGCCAGGAATCAATGGCAGATACACCAGGTGAAAATGAGGAAAAAACTTTGGAAAAAAGAGAAAAACTAATGCAGCCGTCACATCTAAGGACTGGTAAACTGCAATAGATTAAATTTTTTGCTTTAAGGTTTAGTTATACTTCAAAAGTATCCATATACTATAAATATATGTTTGGGTTTTTTTTCTAGAACTTTAAACCCTTTGTTTAGTCGTGAAAACCAGAAATGATTGTATTAAATGTTGTGTATATCTTAATGACCATGTACAGTGCAAATAAGTATAAAAACAGCGTTTCTGTTTAGTAGTATAAAAGCGCAATGGTTAGAATTATTAGTCTCAGAAGCACAGCAATGGTATTGGGTTATTAAAGTAGTGAGGGTTATATTGGCAAGCCAACATCTGAAGTGCATGTTACACATTGTTAATAGATTCTTAGAATTGTTACAGATGTAATTCAAAAGTAAAACATATGTAATTTGTGACTGATAACACCCAATTTAAAACTTCCCACAGTATCTTCTACTATCTTACACAACTAGTAATCTCTGGGGCGGTGTTAAGGCTTAGGTCGATGGGATGCGTCAACGAGCTTGCTTTTCACATCAATTGTGAATGATCCCAGAATGATTGTTAGGCGCTTTAGATCCGCAGTTCAATTCCTTCTGAGCTGCAGTTCACATTCTTCATTATTAGTGTCCCATACACTTATTCTGGAAGTGAAACAGTTCCAAAGTGAAGACAAGCCCTTCAACACTGGCCCTTAATCATATTCCAGAAGCAGGGCCTCTTGTATTAGTTTTCACAGCTTAGTCACCTAACTTCCACAGTGTAAGTTGCTTCTGTGTGCAGTAGAAACTGAAATAAAGACTTTGACAGCTGACTCCTCTTCATTCCCAACTACGACCCTTTGATTGACAGCTCTTATCTACCTGTCCCTGTACTTTCCAGACACAAAACAAAGCTCCCTTTCCAGTTCTAATGCCTGTGTGGAATCATGTGATGGTGCTTCCCCTCCCTCTGCATTCCTGTGACCTTGCTGGTTTCTAGAAAGTGTGAAACAGTAAGATAAGAGCTGTCAAATCAAGAGGTCGCCTCCGTGTTGTCGGGAATGAAGAGGAGTGAGCTGTCAAAGTCTTTATCTCAGGATATCCTGCATACAGAAGCATGGGAGAAAAAGCAACATACACTGTGGAAATTAGGTGACTGTATTGTAGAAAATAATAAGGTGAGACTACTTCTTCAAGACAGAAATGCAGCAATAAGGGAATATCTTCGAAAAGACCTCTCCCATGGAATCCACTTTTAAATTACAAGTGCTTGTCTGGCACAACCCGAGTGCTATGCAATAATATTAAATGGCTTTTTACATACATTTCTCTAGTCAGGTTAGACACAGACAGGCATATATCTAACTAGGAATGAAAGAGAATGGAACATCCACTTAACTTTGAAAGCATAGGCCCCTATGTGTTTTCTCTGACTCCGCTGATGGGTGAATATGGCACACATGCTGACATAAAGTAAATAGCAATCATCCCCACCCAGTTTAAATATGGAGCACTTTTGATGGCAATGCTCGACGCTGCTCCCAGAAAAGCCCTACATAACTCTCCTTAAAGCTGGCCATACACCTTAAGGTGCCCATACACTGCACAATTCTCGTACGAGAATCACGGGAAATCCCGCTATCGTACGAGAATCGTGCAGTGTGAATGAAGACGTGCGACCGTTTCTACTGTACTGTCGCACGTCTTTTGTCTAAGGAGCATGCTAGAAAACCAGCCGAAAATCTTACAATTTTCGGCTGGTTTGAATGATGCTCAGGAGACAAATGCCGAAGGGGCCGGTTTGTGCACGCGCACACTGCCCATTCAGCATTGCGGTCATCGCAAGCCGGCCCCTCAGGGGGGCGGGCTTGCGATGATCGCAAGTACGATCTGCCTGTCCAAGATGGGCAGAACGTACGTTTTTTTAATTACTTTACAACCATCGCAAGACTAAGGTCTTGCGATGGTTGTAAAGTTAATGGCCACCTCTACAATTTATCTGCAGATTTTCTATGGTCAGATGAAAAAGGTGCAACAGATTCCTCCATCTACACTTAACTGTGTGGATGGAGTAATCTCCACCTGGGCCAATCTGTTGCACTTTTTCCATCTGCCCACAGAAAATCTGCAAATAATTGTAAGGTGTATGGGCACCTTTAGTTTAACAAGGCCCAAATTGGTCCATAACTTGCTGAAAGTATGCAACTATGGCCTCCATTGCTCAGTAGTGATAGTTTTGATTATAGGATGCCATTTTTGATTTGTCAGTGCTATCAATGCGAGTAGTACTTCAGAGGGTAAAAAAAACACTTCAACCAACACGTTACATGCAAAAGCATAGTTTTCTGATGCAGGCGGCACAGGAGGAGCCAGAACAAAAAGCACAGTGCACAAAAACACACTTACCTCATCTACCATAAGACGTTTAAATGTCTGGTGCAACCACAAAGATTATAAAAGGGGGAAAAAAACAAGAGACAAAAAAGACAAAATAAGTCAGACAGCAGAAGTGACCCACAGATTTCACCATAAAATCAAATAATTAACTGAACACCAACATTTAAATAGAGAGCACCAACATTCAAATAGTAATTGTGGGAAAGGAATATATAAAGTCATAAAGCAAAAATTCAGACAACACAAAGGTAGTATTGGAACATTCCAAGCATTCATCATCTATCCCAAAACCAGGGCATCCATTTCCTACAGTAACATAGATAGATAGATAGATAGATATATCTATATATATATATAGATATATCTATCTATCTATATCTAAATTGGTGGTACAAATGAAAAATAAACACTTGGGAATGCCTAAACAAATCTGTAGCTTTCTTCCCGATGCCTGTGGGAGCCCCTAAAATCAGGACATGGCTCACCTCCTCCCATACCTTTATTCTGGTCTGTGGAGACATCCATGGATTTGACGGGCCAACAAAAGGCTGTGTTAAGGGCAAAGAGAGCAAACCAAGTCCTGACCTTCCCAACTGAAGTAGGAGTTTACATGAATTAAAGTTCTACATTTATTTGCTCCTCGGAGAGAGAAAGAGGCACTAGAAAACAAAGCTGCATGTAACTGTATCCTTTCTACAACCAATTTAGGCAGTAAAAGATGATAGGTTTACCTTTGAAACCCATCTCTGGGTAAATAAAAAGATGTACCCTTGCAGTGGGGCTAGCCCCACAATGCCTGGATTAAGTGCATGTCCATGTTTAAGGGCTGGAGTAAAGCAGACTTACTTAACAGATCTCGGGTCCCCTTTCCTCTTCTCCCCCTTAGCTCCCGCTGGTGGAAGGTCCCTCAGTGTCCTCACGTCTAATGCAGGCCTACGGAATTAGGCGTGATGACATCAGCAGTCCTTAGACCACAGGAGGCCAGGGGAGAAGGTCATAGTTCACACCGGTTGATTAGGTAACCAAAAACTGTAAACCCCAAAGCAGTGGTTTCTGCAACAAAGGCATTTACGTCTGTCACCTTTTGATTTTAAGGGAACAAGATGGGCAGAACAGCAATGGGTTCTGATTTGACTACAATTTTATTTCATTTTCAATATTTTTATTACATTTTAACAATAGAAGATAATGCAGAAATTAACAAATTAACACGAGTAGACCCCGACTAACGGCAATACAAAATTGATTCACGTGGTAGAATAGAGAACATTAAGGTAACAATAATGACGCACCCAAATAAGTATCTGCAAAGCTAACCCGAGCAAGATGTACAAAAACAATAGAGAGCAGCAATGCAATACAACTGGCAACCTAATGCAATAGTTACGTGAAAATAAAGCCTATGTATTCGCTCCCTAAATGGGGAACCCGAAAGGAGAAACTGAACTTCAGAAGCAGGGGTCAATAGGCCAACAAAATCCTAACCTACAATAAAAAGGAACAGACTAAGCCACGATGTGGGTGAAAATCTTGGGACATTGAAAAAACCAGGTGGCAGAGAAGGAGGAGAGGAAAAAAGAATCACAGAGGAAAGTGTAATAAAGAGAGAAAAGGAAGAAAGAAGATACAGAGGAAAAAGAGAAGAAAATGGTGGATTAAAAGTACTCCAACATATGAGAATAGTCCTCGCTGTAAATGGGGCGCAGACGGACCCTCCTCACGCACTACAAACCCCTTGACTACAGTTCTATTTCACTGCAAAACCAAATAATGTTACGCATTTCCTACTATAGGAATCAATGACAGTTGCTGGTGAGGTCAAAGGTTCACGTAAAAAAAATACATGTACAGACTATAGCTCAGACATTGATTTAACCCAAACTTCTTCCTTCATCTTAGGCCCCATTCACACTGAGCGATTTCGCTCATATTTCCACGCGATATCGCTCTATGTAGCTTCTCCAATCCATTTCAATGGAGCTGTTCACATCTCGTCGCTCAATATCGCTTGTAGCTCATCGCTGGTAGCTTGTCGCTCCTACATGACCCTTTTTTCGAGCGATTTTGAGCGATATTGCTCTTGATTGCATACAGCACAATAGGAAGAAGTCGCGCGACACGTCACGCAATATCGCTCAAAGTCGCGCGATTTTCATGTCGCTCAGTGTGAATGGGGCCTTAAATCAGGAAAGATATCCAAGAAAAAGGTCTGGCCTGAATGATACAAACACTACCATATTTATTTATTTTTTATTATATGCCTGCCGCTTCACAGGACACATACGGTATCTTCACAGCAACATAAAACCATAAAACTGCTGTTTATAACCTTCCTTTCTTCAGTCACTCCATGTTACTGTGCAATTATTTTCATTTCACACTTCATTTCACACTTGTAGTAAACAATATCAACCACAAGAGGGCACCAACCACCCACAGACATAACAAGAAGATTAAAAAACTTTAAACAAGTTAGTTTCGTGCCATAATGACACTGACATAAGCTTTTATTGCATGAAAAACACCACAAGATTATGAAAAAGCATCAATCCATGCCTTTATACTACATATGGCCTCGTCCACAAAATACAAACACTGCAATTTATGGTTTTGAATTGTGAGACACCTTAGAGCAGATGTAAACCCACTCACCGAACTCTCACATAAGCTTTAAAATGTTTAAGAAATTCTAAATAGAAAAGGTCTGCAGCTTTCGCTCAAATGAAAACCGGGTGATCCAGCCACGAGGGCCTTTGTTCAGACACTTTCTGTTATAAGGGTGACAACACTATCCCAGTCTCCCAATTGTTCTCCTGTGTTGTAGTCTTCATTGAAAACATATGCGTCAAGGAGACAAGTGACCGTTTGAAGCCACGGTCCACTGTTGCCATCATCAGTCAGTGCAGCATTTTTTCTGAGCGCACCAGAGCGGAAAACAGGCAGTGATGTGCCACGCGTTCCCGTGCGGCCGATCGCACTCCCTCCCGGTGCATTATGGCGAGAATCAGGCCGGAATGCACTGAGGCTGGTGTGAACTAGCCCTGTCAATGCTTTGCACACTCACACATGGAGGTTTATATAACAAGTCAGTGACTGTGCATACTTCAGATGTGAACCCTGGCATTCCATGACAGACAAAACACACCAAGCCCAGTGTAAGCGCTATTCACACTAAAGGTCAGAGTTATCTGCATGAATTAGGATTTTTTTTAAAAGCTACAGAAGCAAATATACAGCCAAAACACACAACATAATAAAGTGTGCATCTGTTTACACACACTGCTGCAACCCTGGTAGTTCTTGTGACAATGCCAAGTATCGGCACTGGTATCTGAACTTCCCTAACAAAAAAAAGAATAATAGGTATTATTCTATTATTTTTTGATTTATGTGATACAATTACATATAGTTAGGAGTAAATGACTATCCCTGAACTCAACTAGCATGCGTCCAGGAACAGTGAACTATTCCAAACCGCATGTGATCATATCATATACAATAAGGCCTGCTTCAAACCTGTGCGGTTTTATGCGTGGATCTATGCGGCTGGATTCACACCTATTCAGCGTGTTTTACGCATGTCATTTTTAAATATGCATGCATACAAATCGCAACATGCGTTTCTCAAGCGTTTTCTATTGAGTCTATGGGACAAAACACGCTGAAATCAGCACCAAAGTAGCTCATGTAGTATTTTGTGTGACAGGCGTATTTCTACTTGCGACAAAATGCTGACATGTGCACTGGGGTCATAAACATGAATGGGATTCCTACTATTAAGCTGTTTTTCGATTTAGGAGCGACAAACAGATTAGGTGTGATGGGGGCCTAAACGAAGGGGACAAAAACACACATTTCAATAGCAACTATTCACACCTTAGAGTTGCGTCGTGCATAGAAAAACGCCTGTAGCGCAAAAAGATGCAAGAGCTATTTTCAGGCGGATCCCACGCGGTTTTGGTCCCACAAACATCTCTATTTTTAAAAGCAAAAACACTTGAAAAACGGCAAACACCTAGGTGTGAACCAAGCCTAAAATTCAGACTACAGCTTACAGATGCGGCTGCCGTCACTGGTTTTTTTAACTTGAACATGTACAGCGGCCACATCTAAACAGAAGATCTGGGATTCCTAGTGCAGGACTCCAAATCACCCAGTGTGAATGAAGTCCAACAGTCCGGCTATATCAGCACACACATATCCTTTCCTCCCACCTACAAAAGACCACAACTCATTTCTGGCCTTGTGATGAGAAAACAGGGTGTGAGTCTGAAAAGTGAAACAGGAAGTGCAAAGTCTGATTACTCATGTACAAGAAGTAATAGAAGCCAGGAAACCGCGAGTCATTGTGTAAATGTAAAAGAATAAAAAACCTTGCAAGTTTTTTTCTTTTTCTTCAATGAGGCAATTTGTGAGCTGCTAAAAACAGACATTGCAGACAAAAAATGCCTAAACTCCTACAGGAAAAAAATGACATTCCTGGTTCATCACAAGTATTTTCTCCAGCAAAAATGAGTGCTCTTCACTACGTCCTGTATACTTGCACATACAATGGTGCACAATGCCCCTAATGAGCCACATGCAGTGACAGCGCACAGAAGGTGTGCTGTCACTGTGTAGGAAGCCATAGAGCGAGCTATAGCAGCTCATTGTATTGTTTCCTCTCCACGTCCAGGAAGTAATAGCCAGAAGGAGAGAGAAGCGCAGGTAGCAGAGCAGTCGTCCCGACACTCACAGGGAACCTGCCCCGGCTTTTCTCCCCTCTTCTCAGCTAGGCAAAGGGAAGAGTGAGGGGGGAGGCAGCTTCTGGAAAGCGTCTGTATGTACAAATGCTTATTAAGGTGCCCATACACTGCACGATTCTCGTACGAGAATCGCGGGAAATCCCACGATCGTACGAGAATCGTGCAGTGTATGGAAGGCGTGCGACCGTTTCTACTGTACGGTCGCACGTCTTCAGTCGAACCTGCATGCTAGAAAACCCGCCGGGAATCGTACGATTCTCGGCGAGTTAGTGGCCTGCTGGTTCGACAACT